ATGCGTAAATCTTGCATATTCATGACTCCAGTAATTTTGTGATCAAAATCACAGAGCACATGAAAAGCGACAAAAAGGGTTTGTACGTGTTGTCTCACATGTTCAACGTATGTTCGATCCCTTGACGATCAAGCCTGATCAAACAGCATTGTCAAACAAATTGGAAAAACTCCAAAGGTGACATGGCTGTATGAGATCGGAAGAGACATTCGAAAAGTAAAACGTGATGAGGCCAGTGTCAGTAGCGATGAAACTTCGATCAGTTCCGAAACGAAAGGGACGAGCGGCGCCGGCTTGAATCACCGCTGACGTCGCCTGACATAAGAATTGCCGAAAAATCAGAGGAAATGCGTTGTGATGGCGAAGGCGATGGCGACGGCGATGTGGATGCGTTGCGTTGCGCGCGATGCGCGATGCGCGGCCAGAGCATCGAGTGCGCGACTAAAAGAGGGAATGTAAATGCTGGAAAGCCAGGTGAGTGTGTGTGAGTGCGACTTGGGACAGAGTGACACGCTCTCGTCGGTTTTTACGAGGTTGTGCGCGAGCTGCTCGACACTTTCGTGCTGTAAAATCACATCTGACCTTTCTTCATGGAAAACAGACGTGCCTAGTGCATGGCACACACCGACTCTCAGCGCATCGCGTCTACCGATCACCGCCGCCCGCAGCCGCCTATCGCAAGCGTACGCGTAGCAACTTCGCAACTTGCAACCCCTTTTGTGATTTATTCAGCTCATTACTGTAACATACTTTCAACCCCCCCCCTCCCCCAACCCCGCCAAAAGAGCACTGCAAAGTAGCAAAAAATAGCCTAGAGATCTCGCGAAACAAGTGTTCTGCTCTGAAAATCGAAAACAGTGCAGCATGTGACCGCTGAAGTCAGCATTCCAACAAGGAGTGTAAAGCATAAATACGATTGCTTGTCGGCACCGGGGGAATGGCTACTCTCGTGGTTCAGCTGGACATTGAAGTTTTCGAATTTTCACATATCTGGAAAACGACCGAAATATGATGTATGTGCTGCTTAATCTTGAATTTCATTAAAGAAACTCTTATTATTGAATGAGAATAACCATAATAACCATCTAACTGTTAGCTCTGTACAGTATAGCATAAATCAAAACGTCGTGTGCGGCTAAAATTCGGAAATTGTTCGTCTGTCATATCAAGGGTACCTTCACTCCAACTAAATCCCCAATACTTCGCTTGCTATATATCGTACCTTTTCACATGTTTATCAGTCGCTTCATATTGGATACATCTAGTTTTTTTTTTGAAGAAAAAACCAAACATCCTTTCATTTATTCAAAGTTCTTCACGGGGGGACTTGAATCAGCTGATAAAATTTTTTTATGAAATGAATTGACTACACAGTCTAGCGAATCGTCAAATGTAGCGATAGAAATAGAAATAACTTGGCATTAGATTCTTCACAGACCGTCAAAATAAGGAAACTTTCCGAGTTTTCGGATGAATGCATTTCTTATAAAGCACATTGGAGGTTGTGACATGAAAAAAGCTTGGCTGAGTAGTACTTAATGTTGGTCGATGACCTATCGAAGAAGATAGGGGCTGAAAAAAAACAGAATTGTTGTTAATCTAATCTTCACCAATGGATTAACATTAAGAGTGATTTGAAATCTTCTACTTTACCGTATCAAGGGAATTAGGCTGGTCTGTAAACTTGCTCACGCAGTTTAGAAGAGTTTGGATAATTCATGAAAACTATTGGATTATGGTAGCAAACAAATATTTCGCTCTACAGCAAAGAGCAGACTAGGCTCCCATAAGCAATAATGAATCTGCGATGAAGAGGACCAAGTACAGCTAAAAAGTTATGAAAGTTAATGAAGAAGACTACGATGGATCTACTCAAAAATCAATGGAGCTCAAGGCAATGCCTCGATGTTTGCTCAAGGGCGACGCTTTTCGGTCGTTTGAACATGTTTTGAGTAGATTTGCAAGCAATATTGGTTTGAACTTTATATGTGCACTTACAGAAGATGGAATCTGTGTAGCTTGATATTAGCAAATTGTAAATTGTAATCTGTAAATTAGCTTGATGTTTTGAGATTGGAGAAAAATATTAACAGCATATTAAAATTTTCTCTTAGGTTATAAGTCTCTAGCGCACACAGCGTTGGAAAAATATTTGTTTGTTCTCTGTTTTCTAAAGCATTTTTTATCTTCTCGAGTACAGGGCAAACAAATAATTTAAATTGTTAAGATTGAAATAAAATTTCAGCGAAGATAATTATGCAAGGAAAACTTTGCCAGTGCACTAGTCAAAAAAATGAATAATTAATGAAAACAAAGAAGAAGAGTTCCGGCGATTACATGCGAAATCGAGAACAAGTTGCTGTGAGTGAGAAGGATCGAAGTCCGCCTCCGGTAGACTGACTTATCGACCACACTGCCACCTGATGTTGAGCCTGTTGTTGAGTGAATGGAACGTTTCTAGTATCAAGCGATGAGTGCCTGAGCAGCTACTATATTGCGTTTCAAAACATTGGTGTGCTTAGGATATTTCGAAAATCTTTTGGGACAGGGGAGGCGCGAAACTGGCGTAAATGTCTAATAAATATAAATTTTTGCGACATTTCGTTATCGGTGAACCATACAATACCGTTCTGGATTTTTGAACAATTTAGAGCGTGCTCAGAAAACTGAATACAAATTTCTACTCAAGTTTTGAGGCAAGCTGCTCTATTTGATAGTGATTAATAGGTTTATTGTAAAACCACACTCTCAACCATTTCACGATATAATGCTGAACAGAAAAGAGTAAAAAAATTTACGCTTTTAGTAAAGGTGAATTTTCAGATTTTTGTAATCAATGCTATATGCTCAAGTTTTAGATTCATTATGGTTTTTAGATCAAGAAAGTTGGTGGTGATTGAGTGTTCTCAATGAATGTCACAATTTCCCTTCTTGGTGCTGATTGAGTGTTCTCAATGAATGTCACAATTTCCCTTCTATTTTTTTACAGCATGTCAATTTTTGAATATTGTAATCACCTTTTTGTTTTTGATCAAATACAATCCCTATTATGCATAATAAAATGTAACACTTGTTGAATATAATAAAGAGATTTTGGAAAAAAAGAGACAGATTCTTCCACTTGGTGCAAGACTTGTACCAATCTAATTATTAGAATTTGTTGAGGTTAGCATTTCTCTTTTATTTTTTACAGCACGGTGCTGAGCAATCAAATTTGACATGTTTTTTTTGCGAATATGAAAGCTCGCACAGAACATCATTCATGTTTTCAGTTCCCATGACCGTTTTATCATATCTTTTTCTCCTAAATATTCTAGATCTGAAGAAAAAAAAAGACCTCGTAAGAGCTCAAAAGTGATGATGAATTCTTACTAACAAGGGAAGGATAGTTGGATGCCGCGGCCATTCCTAATGATTTGTATACCAAAAAATGCACCTTCGAATTCAGATTCTGAATCTGTGCTCGAAATCTGCGAAACGATCTTTTGAAGAAAGTTATGAACTTTTTTCCCTGAAAATTTAGCCTACTTTTGGATAGTAAAAATCACCAGATTTGATCTAGCCTACCGCTTGATGCTACTGAAGAAAATTTTAGACGTCGTAATATTTATTTAGACTATCTGGATCATGCTCAGCAGAAAGGAGAGAAAATTTTTTTATTGATGATTTTGACCCTCCGCAGGAACGCAATTTTTTTAATGAAAAAAAATCATAACTCCATTCAGATTATCGTTTCGCAGATATGAAAGACAGTCTACGAACCAGCATTCAAAAGCGCATTTTTTGGTATACAAATCATTATGAGTGGCTACAGCATCCAAGTATCCTTCCCCTGTAAGACAGTAGTAGAATTCAGCGAAACTAAAGAGCTGATAACAATTTTTTTCTTCGTCTACACATCTCAACTCCATTCGTCGCTCGAAAAGTGCATTTTTATCACAACATGTCGATCAGAAATTCTACGACAAGCACGCAATTGTGCAAATGATTCATCTAATGAATAATTTTCACTACGGCTATATCGTGCAAGTGGAGAAATTCTTTTCACTAGTGTAATTTCTTTGGTTGATGCAAATATTACAGTCTGCGATGGCGTGGGAACATGATTGTTACTATTCTCGAAAAAAGCTACATTTGCAAAACAAAGGAGTGATAATAATGTATATCTGATTTTAAGAGATTTTCACCATCACGCAAGTTTTGAGACTTTTTTGAGATTAGGATGTATGAGCATAATTCCGAAGAGATTTGAATCAAGATAACGGCAAACATAATTTAATGCAGGAGCAAGTTATAAATTTGAACAAAAGAGTGCAGTCTCACAAAGAGTCTTTTTCTGCCTCTAAAGTTCTGACGGTCTAGAAAAAAGCCACCTCATAACTTGCTCGACCCCCTTAAACATGGTAAATATGCGAGCATGATCACTTATCATGAAAAGCTAAGATTAGGTCTTTTTTTTTTGAAAGAAGATATTAAAAAAATCTATTTTTTCAGCTCTATTGTGCTACACGTTCAGCAATGGTAATCAATCTATTAAATACGTCAGAGCTCTGTCGAGTCCATCCCAAAGTCTATCCAAACTTCAAATAAGAAAAAGGAAACTCCGACCTTCAAGTAAACAAAATGATAAATTTTCAAGGAGAGAGCTGCATTTTTTACAAATGTTTGAAGGAATGTTGATGTTGGTACACGCCGATGCAGATTGATCAAAAAAATCACTGTCATATCATAATTTTCAAAAAGCTCACTAAAATTGCCGATTTGATAAGAATTTAGTGTTGACTTTGATTTTACGACCTACCCTAGACTGAAACCCATTCGGTTTACTGATTTCGCTTAGAATATATTGCGCTACTAAAGTCATATGTTCGAAACAAAAAGTATATAAAAACCGAAACGCTTTGTAGTTACGTTCCTGATTTTCGGACCAAGTATTGGAACGAGCTATGAAAAGAAGATTGGCAAAAAACATCAGGTTACTATTACAAAAGAAAGCTAACCCGTAGCGATGAAGCGTCGAATGAGGAGCAGTAGTATGCAGTAGCCGGAGCGCCGTCAGCTGTAGCCTGATCAACGACCGACCAGTCATGCCCCACAACTCTGTAGCAGTTCTTTTGTTTCAAAACCTGTTCCAATTCATCAATCAAAACAGTTACTTTATTTGCTTCGAACGCAACATTACCGTTAGTATACGCTCAGGTTCGCAATCTTTGTGTACTAGCCGTAGCAGAAGCTATAAGCTATTCGGAGGAGAAACATGACTCTAACACGAACTGTACAAGAGGAAAAGTAGCAGATCTACAATGATCGCTTCTATGGCATAAATATGGACTAATAATTATCAAGATTGCTCCAAAGTACTGATTTCAGAAGTGTTTCTTGTTTGAAAGCAGGTCGTTGATGGAGCTAAGATCTCTCAATAGCTAAAACCACAGAGCATAAGCCATACCTTAAACCACACAAATACCAGTGAGACAAGCAGATGTGTACACATGCTAGTTTACAGGATCGATCATAACAATGACATGGGTACATAGATTGGAGATCATGGTGGCTCCAAGATGATAATTGACTTTCCTTCAACATAAACCATCTTTTAGTGTATCATTGATTTCATTTGAGTTAACCACTCAGACAGCGGATCGGACCCCTCCGCCGGAGAAGTGGCAGGGTCGCGGCGTATCCCCAGCGGTGGGTCTCCCATTTGTCCGGCGGAGCCCTCCCATTTTCTGCTCCGGATACCTCCCATTTCTGCTCCGGATACCTCCCATTTCTGCTCCGGATACCTCCCATTTTCTGCTCCGGATACCTCCCATTTTCTGCTCCGGATACCTCCCATTTCTGCTCCGGATACCTCCCATTTCTGCTCCGGATACCTCCCATTTCCTGCTCCAGATACCTCCCATTTTCTGCTCCGGATACCTCCCATTTCTGCTCCGGATACCTCCCATTTCTGCTCCGGATACCTCCCATTTCTGCTCCGGATACCTCCCATTTTCTGCTCCGGATACCTCCCATTTTCTGCTCCGGATACCTCCCATTTTCTGCTCCGGAGCTCTCCCATTTCTGCTCCGGAGACCTCCCATTTTCTGCTCCGGAGACCTCCCATTTTCTGCTCCGGATACCTCCCATTTCTGCTCCGGATACCTCCCATTTCTGCTCCGGATACCTCCCATTTTCTGCACCGGATACCTCCCATTTTCTGCTCCGGATACCTCCCATTTCTGCTCCGGATACCTCCCATTTCTGCTCCGGATACCTCCCATTTTCTGCTCCGGATACCTCCCATTTTCTGCTCCGGATACCTCCCATTTCTGCTCCGGATACCTCCCATTTCTGCTCCGGATACCTCCCATTTTCTGCTCCGGATACCTCCCATTTTCTGCTCCGGATACCTCCCATTTTCTGCTCCGGAGCCCTCCCATTTCTGCTCCGGATACCTCCCATTTTCTGCTCCGGATACCTCCCATTTTCTGCTCCGGATACCTCCCATTTTCTGCTCCGGATACCTCCCATTTCTGCTCCGGACCCCTCCGATTTTCTCCGGCGCGTGTCTTCCAAATTTGGCGGACACGCGCCGCGCAGACCTCTGCGGCGCGGAGTCCGTCAAATCTGGCAGAGTCGCGCCGGAGAAATGGCGGACCTTTGCAGCAGGGCCGGAGAAGCCTCCCATTTGCCTGCCAGTGATGCCACCGCGATGGACCGCCCATTTGCCCTTCTCTCATTGGTCAACTGGGTCCGGCGCGACCCTGGCAGTTTCCGAGGGTCCGGCGGAGGGGTCCGATCGATTGTCTGAGCAGTTATATCATGCACTTACAAGCTTATAAGCTTTCTACCTTTTCAATACCCCGACAGGCTCGGTGCTGTAAAAGAAAGGAAGAAGATTTTAGTCTTGCCACCCCTTTTTCCCTAGGCATGGTTGTAACTATTCCCTCAAGCAAATCGCGTTCAAAATCATCTAGTTACTCCAGCTTGGGTCTCAAATATTGCACGCCTTTTGAATCAAAGCATAAGCAGCGCCTCGAAAACGAGCATGCGATTGGATATTCGAAGAGGAAGTCAGCAAGTATTCTGAGCTTTTGAAATACATGAAAGACACGAAATTTAGGTGGTACGGTGTTGTTAATCACTGTTTTATTGCAGAACGCAATATATAAGGCATCATCTTCAGAAGATTATAGTCATTAAAGACAGCTTTATCAAAGTAATTAGTGTATAATCGATCAACAATATGATGGCAATTATTCTTCATTGTACAAGTTATTTGAATAAAACGGTGTCGAGTTATATATGTCCCGAATAGAAAATCCCGTTTCTAAACCCGCGCCGAGCACGCATACACCTTTGAGTGGAGCGGATGTTGCAGGGCACTTTTCGTCATCAGTCGGTATCGATTTTATCGATCTCTTGCAAACGCTGTGCTACGGAACTGAAAGTTACAGGGGGGGGCATGCTGATCGCAAATATAACACCAAAGAAAAAATTATGAAGTTCTGTAAACGCAATGCAGTATGACAGTAGTATGTGAAAATTCTCGACAAAATCAGCGAATTGGCTCTTCTAGAGTCATAAATGTTCGAATGCAGGTATGGTGCAAATTCTCAAGTTCCCGGTCAGATGGACTACTATAGGGACCTGCATGATCGCGAGAGTCGGACGTGCGTACGGCCATTGCGTCGCGCACGTCCGGTGTCCGTCCCACGACTCGGATAAGTGCCAGACTTACCTGTTCAACAGTTTCATTCGATTTACCCCCTCTGCTAATGGTTAGTGCAATAGATTTGATCAATAGCGAATGAGTGCACCGGAAGAACCGCTTAAACAGTATAAGTCTGCACATATCTCAGTGAATTGGACGTGAGCGGCGCAAAGGCCGTACGCACGTCGGATGTCTCGCGATCATGGAACCCCTATAGTCGGTTTCATTCCGGATTAAGCAAAACATTTTGCATGGGGCAACGCGTGCGCATCACTGCAGGCTTCGCGAGCGCATAGCGCTGGCACTTTGCCAAGCAAAGACTGAGGAGAATGAAGAGACGCAGGCTTGGATTCTCAGCGCGATATGATGTACTGTAGCTGCGAAACGGCGCGAACCGTTGCGAAGCGGACGCCCGCCAATCCAATTTCCGCAAGCGGGTTTAAACTTACTGTATAGTCAATGTGCTGACAACATTTCTTATATTGTTTTGCTGCTGGTGGCACATTATAGAAATGGAAGTCCGCCAAAATACGCGATTCTCAATTTTGGGAGACAGTTCAGGAGAACATGAGTTTGTGACCTTATAATCTGACAGATAGCGCCTGTGCTGAGATGGCCCGATAGCGTTTTTGCAGTTTCTAATTTACAAAAACACGCAGCCAAGTTCTATGATAGACCGGCAAGAAGTGCAGACGTCCAATCTTGCGTGGTTCAACCGAATCTTTCTAATTATAACTTCAATGTAAAACTCTTTAGCGCGAAATAACTAAAACTTTTCTGAACAGTGGGTTTGAAAATCACTGTGAATGGGATCCCGAGTCAATCGAAGATCACCAATACTTCGGCCAAAACCAGCGCCGAGATTAAGAGCGAGGATCAAGAAAAATCAAGTGGCGCCATTTACTTGGAAAATCTGAGCTTAGAGGTTATCCGACCTACGGATTACAGAAAACACATCTAATTCGAATGATGGCTTCTTTCTAAAGGCTAGTGGCTAGCTTTCAGCTAAATAAGGATTTTAGCAATGTTTACTAGCCATTCTGCCTTCTTTAAAAATCTTCTCACCTTGTTTTGCTGCTAAGAAACTCGCGAAGCTGCTGTATGTAATGTCTATAATAGCTCTCTATCTAACCTTTGATTCAACTGGCTTGGCTCCGTTAGGGTGGGGTTTTGTGATCTAAATGAGACCGCTCGCGCCCGCGACGCACCTGCGTCCCTCTCACGCGTGTGCTCTCTGATCATTACTTAGCCTTGGGTCACGTAGCCCCGCCTTTGCCGAAGCTAAGCCAGTTGAACCAAATGGACAGTATCCACATAGTGTCACCAGCATCAGTTAACGTAAACGTTACCAAACTGTGTAGTACATTTGGCAGATAGCAGCTATCGCTCTGTGAGTTTTTTTTCGAAAAAGATTAGAAATGAATTAAGAATGGGCGGAGCTTGCACTTCACGGCCTAAAATGCATAGTTCCGCACAGATGTGTACAATTTCAAAAATTTTCAATTCAGCCCACTTTGATGCTAGGGAGGTCAGATAAAAGCATATAGTATTATTTTGAAAAGAGAAGGCCAGATAAAGGCTGTCTGGTGGTATTTCAATGTCGAGTACGAAAAATAGTGGTTGAGTCTCCATCAAAAGTGAGCGAGTTCTCACAGTCGAAACTGCATAAATTCGCACTCGTATAAATTTGGAAATGTTCAGCTCAGCCAACTTTTATGCTGTAAAAGCCGGCAAATATATGGTAGTGTTTTTAATGACAATGACAAGAAGGAAATGTCAATTTTTTGAATGGGAGTGGGCAGAGCATAAAGCAAAATGAAGTCGCCTTAAATTGCATAAATTTGAAAATTTGATACAGCTTATTTTAACGGTAAGAAAGCCAGATAGAGATAGAGGCGATGTTCTGGAGGTTCTCATCGTCAAGAATCATCTCGCAAATCGATAAAATCGATATGCTGAAGGTTGCAAACCCTCAGATTCGACAAAAGTCGATAGTCGATATCCTGAAGGTTCTAAAATCTCGAAAAAATCGATAAAATCGATATCCTAGAGGTTGCCATACCTCCGAAATCGATATCGATAAAATGACAAAACTGACATCACTGTAATTTCCAGAATCTCAAATTTATCAGTGTGATTCCGTGTCTAAAAAATTTCGTTCTTTGCTCGATATACGAGATTTCGAGAACTCACAAATAAAAATAAATAGATTTTGACCGATCTTTTCTAATTCTCAACATTCCCCGAATTTCGAATCCTTTAGTTTGCCGATTTTACCGATTTCCACCACTTTCCATGTTCTGTTTAGCAAACTCAAAAATACGAATTTTGCATTTTTTCCAAGACCTTGGGAACCCCTTGAAACTTCCCGAGTACCCAGTTTCCTCCAGCTCCGCCCATTCTACAGCATCCTGTCCCCACCCATCGAAGCTCCGCCCTGTACACCCCATCTTTCTCCGTCATTTCTCACTTTTCCTACCTATTCGCTCGAAAACCACCCGACTCCAGCCGAATTTTCCCCCAGCTCCGCTCACATCTAGCCCCGCCCCATACCCAAGTCTTCGTCCACTCCTCCCTCCCTTGTCATCCCACCTCACCCATGCTCCGCCGCTAACCCACACCGACCACCAATAAAACCATAGTGACCGATTTACACGTAAATTTGATATAGATAGATAGACCAAAGATCAAGTTAAGAAAATTTATACAAGAGATCAGATCAACATAAGGAAATTTCCAGATACTATAAGACAGCGTCCCGTCACATTCATGCTGCCGCCCAATTTCTTCAACAGCTTATACCACATCAACAGTTGTTCCGAAATATGCCAATGCCTTGATAATACTCCTGAAATCGATATTTTACTTTAATCTATCATAAAGTTCCGCGGAAAATTTCGATTCTTGAGTTTTTGTCACAAAGTTTCTTAAGACGACAACCTGGCATTTGCCCATCAGCGCAACTTGCGGCGATATATAGGGAATCACCCTCGCACTTCAATTAGCAATCTCGCACACCCGGCTGTCAATTGGACAATTTTGTTGCAAATTTTTACAAGCAACTCATACAATAACAATAGCGGTCAGACGTTCTAGGTAGCTGTATGTCATAGCATAACGGCTTGGAAGCCTAAAAAATTTCGCTAATACTTAAAAGTCTGGTGAAATTCGTTAACGCTCTGAGTTTCAAACTTAAAGCCAAAAAACTCCATAAAACTTGAAACCGGTTTGGCACTATATCGTTTATCCTTGCGAAGCAGGTATCTTCAGACTTAAGCGCACATCCTTCGAGAGCTAACTCAAGCGGCACTATCTTTATTCCGAGCTGTAACAGTTGAGTTGTTTATGCTGTTCCACTTATTCCATCCTTTCCCTTAACCCATTGACGCCGCTTTCAAAATCATTGTGAGAATCCCCTATCAAGAGATTCAAATGAGTCATCTCAAAATGCATAAGTGTCTCACCTTTGGTATGACGCTGGATGAAGCTCTCTGACCAGTATGGAAGAAACCCAGTAGCAAACCCCTTCTGAGGCCCCGGGCATCTCCACGCGATTCAGCAAAACTTCAATCGTCCACAACTAACGCAAGAGCTTTTAAATGTGCAGAAGATAGGACATTTCATCAGTCTACGAAAGATACACTCTATGTTAATCTGCTATCTTTATTTGCAGATACCTGGCAAACCGCTAGATAGCGTTTCGAAAGAAGTACCGTTAGTACCAGTACGTTTACCTCGACGCCAGGATGAAAGACTGTTTGCAGCAGCATTATGGCAACCGGGAAACAGGGAGGTCACAGGGCATATCAAGTAAAACCTGCGTGTCCACCGTGCCCGAACAAAAGCCATCACATCTATCCACTTTATACTAAGAAATTTAAAGTCTCTAGCCATAGAAATAGCAGCATGTACTTCAATTTAATCATCCCTCATAACTTTTCAAAAGAGAACAAGCTCTTCTACCGGCGGATAGGAATCAGTTCATCACCGGAATTTCGCGGCAATAGGCGTCATTCGCGGATTGCACGTTTTGTGAGCGGTATTGTATCTGACTGTTAAAGAAATCCCTCTGCTGCTAGCAAATGACCGCTAGAAACGCTGTAATTTTTCCATCCAAACCATCATGCTAAAGTGATCTACAAGCTTTTCTACAGTTACGACACTGGAATACAGTTATGATGGTGAAACGTGAAAATTCTCGGCAAAACGCCGACATCGCCAGATTTGCCGAGAATTTTCACATTCTTAAGTCATGAGTGTAAGAATAAGCAACCGATCGATTATAGGGCATTCGAAAAATCGTGACGAGGGAGCGACCGCGCGCGGCACGCATGCACTTCCATTTCTCGGTTTCTATCTCTACTCGAATGGTTTTTCGGCTTACGTCTGATAGTATTGAGACACTGGAAGTGATTGATCCGAACGTTGAGGTGATGCTGGTTGTATGGGTGTTTTGTACTCTTGTGTGCGCAAAGACCGCAGTCAACTTGTCGTCACTTTTAAGAATGAACCATACAGTACTGGGGTTACTTATCAATCTGTCAGTCTCTGACCGGGCTGTTTTACAACTTTGAATGGGCGCCCGACTGGCCATGATTGCGTCTACGAGGGTAAAACAGCGAATGATACAGAGCGGGAGATTGACAAATACCGTCTCTGTTGATTTTTTACCATTGTAGGATTGTTCACTCAGATATGTCTCAAAAACGACAGACTGCAAAGACCCGATATTCATTCTCTTCATATTATAAGCCCTGTAGCCATGTGAGGATTGATCCAAAGCCATCATCCCAGTTTTACTTGGCATCCAATTCCGGCAATGGCTGTCGTATCTCTGAGTTGCCATTGAAACATGTTATTCATTAAAATGCACACGACATCTTGATTCACTGAAACAACACATGATCAGCATTGCTCATAAGAGAAGAAGCAAAAAGCACGTTACCCATCGCTCCATCTTGACCTCTTGTATTAGGTAGGTAGTAGTATTCGCTAGTGCCTTCAATGCAAGTCACCATTGCCCTGATGATAATCTTTATGGAACAAGCCACCTTCTAGACATTTGCAATCCAGAAGTTAAAATCTTCAGGATTCTGTGAGGTTCTGCGTCTTGATATTGGCCATCGTACTTTGAGAGAATCAGTGCCAAGTGGAAAATGAACGAACCGGCATTCCAATCCTCCTGGTTCCGCAATAACCATGTACATAGCTCTCTGAGCGCTTAGACATGCAACATTGGGTGCATTATTACAGTCGGGATCGTAGATATTCGGACATTCCATAACACATCCTGTCATAATGCAAGAGTGTTAGAGTCAATTCGGATACGATCAATTCTTTGCTAGACGAGGTGAAAAACCACGGCAAGCTTATTTACTCGCGGTTATTTACGAAAAGAAAATGTGCCGACATCTTCTAACGGTTTTGAAAGCGTCTTTGCAGCGTTGCGAAAAAACATTTTTGAAAATGTAATTAGAACTGCCAAAAACAACATTAAGGTCGCAAATGAAGTCCTCTGTAAGATGCTCGCTTACGCATTTTAATTCAGCATCTTTCCGGTTGCTTGCCTGCTAAAGCGATCTACCACATTGTTTAAAAAAGAACTCACTTGCGGGAGGTGTCGTTGTCGTCGATGTTGTCGTCGTCGTTATTGTCGTAGACATTCTCGTTGCTGCAAATGAGTATAAGCGAGAATAGGAAAAGACGCGCTGTGCAGATTAAGAATTTCTAGCTTACAGAGGTTGATGAGATGCCTAGACCGCGCTTTATAGTCCGCGGCGGCACAGTACCGACATGGGACGCAGAACGCGGAGTGAATGACACAGGACCGAAGTGTTCAATGAACTTTGCCTGCACATAGCCATGAACATAGGTTCCACAACGTCTTCATCTTGTTTCTGGCAGGCTCGGTGTCCACATATTCCAGTCGTTCGTATCTCATTGTGTGTCGATGCACACATACCCTCCTGCGCGTACAGTTGTTTTCAATAGTTGGTTTTGTCTACCGTATGCCTTCCAGCCTCAACAACGTGGATTGGTGTGGATTGGTATGGATTGGTGAGGCGCCGCATCGCTTCGGGTTTGCGCCGCGTTGCTTTTCTCGGCGGGGTGTGGATTGGTGCGGCGCCAGAAAAGCAACGCGGCGCAAACCCGGAGCGATGCGGCGCCTCACCAATCCATACCAATCCACACCAATCCACGTCATGTTGAGGCTGGAAGGCATACGGTAGAAAAAACAATACGTACTGAAAACAACTGTATCCTGAATGGGTTGGCCTTTGCGTAAAACCTTCTTCACTAAGTGTCTGATGCGTGTGATGAACAAAAACTACTATTGGTGTAGAGTCAAAGAAGGTAATTCTCAAAGTTTGCATGGCGCGTATTATATAGATGGCGTGGGCATTCTCACACATATTGAGATACAACGGCTCGACTGTATAGGTTTAGTGTAAGTCAAATGCCAGCGCCTAGCTTTGAACACTCGAGGAGCGGCTGGAGGAGACGTGGGGTCCCAGGGCGCTATAGGCTATCACAGCCGATAGCGAGAGCGCACCTTCTTCAGACGTGTTTTTACAAACTTTTAAGTCACTTTTTGTTGAAACTCAATATGCAGTGCTGTATACAAGTTGACCGGAAAATTCATGAGCGAATGAGACCTACACTTTCTCGCGAAAACTATTCGCCTATGCTGGTATTCAGCGCGGCGCGGGCAATTAGTCCTTGCAGGCTTCTACGTATAAGAGAAATTTAAGGGCTCCGGAAAAAGCGCGTTTTCGACATCTTCATGCTCTTCAAGCTGCATTTTCGGAATCGGGGCGAAGGGTTATGTAATGTTTTGTCCGGAGCGGGCTTCTATGTGATTCTCCAACCGCTGGTGCTTGTTATCACTCGTTCGCCGCCCATTTAATCGACTTGCGATTGCCTTTCAATGAGCTCGAATGCCTTCCAACTTTGGGATGTTTTATATTAGGTTGGTGCAAAAATAGTGTCCGTTTTTCTAGGCCCCTTTCCGAACAGCTTTTCCCCATCAAACTTTCTTCACTCGATACAGATTCTGCATATCACTGGAAAGCCTTCTTCATGTATTTTTCGACAGTGGCGCAATTGGATTTCTACCCTCTGTGAGGATTGCACCACCATTTTGCGCATCCACACTCAAAATCGAAATTTTAGCGTTTTCAATTTCTCCTCAATTCAGGCGCAAGTGAACGAATTCTTTTGAAAACATAGTCACTGTACGGGATGAAAATTGTGCATCACATGCATGCTCTAGTAAACTTTCCGAAATTATCTGGACTGAGAAATAGATGCCCCAAAATTGATATAGGGGCCTGCATGATCGCGAGAGTCAGACGTGCGTACGGCCATTACGCCGCTCAGTCCGATGTCACTGAGGTATGTGCAGACTTATAGTGTTTAACCGGTTCTTCCGGTTCACACATTCGCTATTGGTCAAATCGATGCAGTGACCAATAGCAGAAAGGGTGGGCCGAATGAACCAATTGGACAGGGTACGTCTGGCACCCACCTAAGCCGTGAAGGAAAGACGGGCGAAGGACGGGCGTGCGCGGCGCAATGGCCGTACGCGCGTCCAACTCTCGCGATCATGCAGTCCTCTAATCGCTGCTGACATTCTATGTGTCAAAGAAAATCTCATGGTCAAGGCAATCGCCAAAGCCTTGCTCACTTTTGTAAACTTGAGGTTGGGACATCTTGTCTACAATATTTAGAAAAACCTAGCCGTCCAAAGCACGAAGAATTCCAAATTTTTCATAATTTGGGACTTTCAGACCTATCACATCTAGGCTCAAAAAAGAACAGTTTTGATTTTTCATCTTTTCTTTTCGCAGAATTCCTTCGTTCGAGTCTGTTCTATCGCACATATACTACTAGTTTGCAGCTACAAAATAACCTGATTACCAGCCGAAAGAAAACTGGGAGTTGTAATCTTTGAAAAACGAGGTTTTCGAAACAAAAATTTCCGATTTCATGACGCATGGTCTTCTTCCCGTTTGCGGTGTCAGTATGGTCAGGTGCGCACTAAATTACGAAAGGGCTGTTTGCGATGGTTTCGAGATACAGTGCCCTTTTTCTTAGTTTTGAATGTTATCGTTGTCATTTTTCGAGCTGTCTACAAGCCCTTCCAAGTTGTATTTTTTATCATTTCGATTTTGCCATGGTCGACGAAGTTCTCGAAACAAAGAGGAATCGGTTCTGTTCTGCGGGACAAATTTATGCAGTTATTTTGATTTTGAATACTAGTTTGACATGTTCTTGGTGTTTCAGATAAAATGCGGAAAACAAAAGATGTGGAAATTTGATGGTTACGATGGCTTTGCGCCACACCGATTACTTCTTTGATTCAAATCACTGAGACATACAGCATTGCATCATATTTCTACTAAACTGAAATCAAAACAAAAAAGACCTACTTGTACTTGTACGTGGTATCGTTGTCGCCACAGGTGCGCTTACGGTGGTGAAGAACGCTGAAGAAAACTTTTGTTTGAACTAGTATTAGGTTGATGCAGAAGTTCTTGAAACTCGAACGACTTCAACAACTTTCTAAGCACCGAACCTAAACTCATCAGTATGTTTTCTAAAAATAGACGAAGTGTGTGATACATGTTGAAGCGTAAATTTTCATGACCACCAAAAACGAAGCTTTCAAAAATGACCTTTCAAAAATTGGATTTTTTATGCTAGAAAACTTCAGAGGGTTTGGTTAGCCCCGAAAAAATCTGTAAGAAAAATTTCTTGAGCAGTAGTCGATACCTATGGCAGGCTTCAATGTCGCATAGAAAAGCAAAAACAAATCAGTCAAAAATGTCACTCTACAAGAAAATCCCTCTGTTGCTGTAATTTTTTACAGAAATGCAGCGAGAAAATCTAATGCTTACCTAAAAAATTAGACATCTTTTTTGGACATAGCACATGGTTTTGCTGTAAAAGTGCAGCAATGAAAAAAAATGTTCTGTGAAATGACATTTTTGACAACTTTTCTGCGTTTTCAAGCATGTTGGAAACTTGCCGCAGTAAGGCATGGACTACTGCTATTTTAGGGCTAGCTAGAGGTAATCCGCTATTTCCCAACTCGTTGAAGCGTCCGTTCTTGGCGGCTAGCCCCAAAATTACACCTCCACATCTGCCATTGAGTGAAAATCTTCTGCTATCTTAGAAAACATACTTATGTCTAGGTTCACTGCTTAGAAAGCTATCGAATGTTGTTCGAATTACGCAAGATTTCTTGCATCCTAATAGAATAGCAGCTAGATGAGGCCACTGATTATTATCACAGAGGGCTAGATATTGATAGACAGAAGACTTGAGCAATAAACCTGAGTTTTAAACGAGGACCAGATTTTGGCAAACTGAACTGCTAAATAAGAGTAAGTAAGAGTGTAATCAGATCACTTTTACGGAAATCTCAGGAGATAATGACGAAAATACACCGAATATGAATTGTGCTATCAAATTTGTTAAAAACAGAAAAATTATCGCAGCAAGGTTTAGTTTAGCCTCATTTCTTCTCCAGAGACGCTTCAAACAAGATTCAGATGCATGCTAGAAGGAGAGCACAATGGTAGTCTTCAGTAGGAGGGAAACATTTTGTAAAAACGAACAAAAATTCACTTACCCGTTCCGGGGAGGGCGATTCTATCAATTCAAAAGCAATGAAGCAATGACTGTATAATCCGAATGCAGAATACAAATTCACTAATTCACTAAGAAATTTGTGCACAATTGAATGATTGATTTTTGAAACTTTTCCTGCCACTTTTGGGTGTATTGTCTTTTCTACGAAATGAATGATAAAAGGCTTGATTGTTTTACGGATACTTCCTTTTTCGAAGCTTACGTTGTCTTAAAAACAAAGGTCAAACAGCCACAAATTTGCTTACTACAGGAACATATTATCTTACATAAGTCAAGGTTACTGCTTGCTTTTCTATGAGTTATTTGAAGGGGGCAATAACTACGTATGTTTTATTAGATGTCCCAAATTTTTTTTTCGATTTCGACATCAAGATCAATATATCCTGAGAGCAAGAGCATTCAAAGAGTGCGCCAAAATTGCCGGCGCACTCTTTAAATGCGTGTTTTCTTGAGCGCGAGGAAGATACTAGACGTATGAGGACGGATCAAGTATACATTTGTTCTCACTAACCATCGTTATCGTAATGCAACAGTAAAATCCGAATTTGACTGCTTTATCTTCTGAAAAAATCTCAGTTTCTCAACTTAAGAGTACTCTGTACGCAAGTATGACTTTAAGAATTTATATATATATATATATATATATATATATATATATGTAGTATTTTTTTCTGATAGCCTTTTCTAATACCCTGTGATTGTGTGCGAAAGTAGACCAAGACTTCGCCTCTAACACTGCTAGTACGGAAATTTAAAAATCGATTCGAAGAGGATTTTTAATTTCTCAAAAACAAGGTTGAGCAGCATACCAAGAATTGGTGCAATTTTGGCCATTCTGAGTGCGCCTCAGGATCAGAAAATGTCTTCTAAATCAGATTCTTCTAATTAATCGGTCATGGTAGATACTCTTGTACATGTCTCAGAAATAGAGAATTGTTTTTCACTTGGAAGGTTTTTACTTGGACTTCTACTTGGACTTCTCCTTCTACTTTCACTCTACTCTCTTTCTACTTTTTCTACTTGGAAGACAAAATTTCTGAAAGGACAACACGATACACAAAAAGAATGTTTGTAGAAGATATGCAGACATATACAATGCAAGTAATGGGAAGAATATTCAAAATAATGGTTGAATGCCAAAGATACAACTTGCATCTGGAATCAATTCTTGAAGTCAATCCCTCAGCGAGGTAAGCTGGCTGCTCCCATGCGTACACTATAGAAAGAAAAAAGAATCTTATATATACAGCTGAATGTCTGTTTGTCTGTTTGTCTGTCTGTCTGTATGTCTGTATGTCTGTCTGTACGTATGTTCCGAATAGAAAATTCCATTTCTGAACCGATCGGGACCAAACTTGGCACACATACACTTCGGGCCCCGGCGGGTGTCATAGGCTACTTTTTGTCATCGATCGATATTGATTTCATCGATTTTTTGCAAAATTTGAGCTAAAGGGCTGGGAGTTGGCACGGGGGGGGGGTAATCGAGCATGCTGATCACCCCCGTGGGGGTGATCAGCATGCTCGATTACACCCCTCTGCCAAATTCCAGCCCCCTAGCTCAAATTTTGCAAAAAATCGATAAAATCGACATCGATCGATAACGAAAAGTGGACTGTGACACCCGCCGGGGCCAGAAGTGTATGTGTGCCAAGTTTGGTCCGGATCGGTTGAGAAATGGAATTTTCTATTCGGAACATACGGCGGAGCCGGGTAAGCCAGCTAGTTACGAATATAATAATGACAGGGCCGGGCGGAGTCGGGTAAGCCAACTAGTATGAAATACTATCAACATAGTTTCTGGTAGATGGGTCAATCATGACGGTAGCGAATATAATCAAGCAAAAAACAAGGGATGTTGGAATCAGCTCAGCGTCACACAACCAATCACCAAAATAAAGCAACCAAGCAATTTAGGAATGTTTTATCAAACTGTCGAGTATCAAACTAGCCAGTCCGTGTAATGTCCATCAAATTCTCGAGGAAGATATTGTGATACAGATTCTTTCAAAGTCTAAGATATTAGGTCGTTCCGAAAGTTCTTTCCGTTTTTCCAACCTATCATAAAAACACGTGGAATAAAGATAGGGAAAGCTTTAGGCACTATCCGACGCAGCTTTTCTTGCTCTTTCTAGCAGTCTTACTCCCATGTCGCTTACTCTTGTGATCACTGAGATAATCGACGAAATTTTGAAGCCCTGGTTTTTACCATGTCCAACTTTGGCAGTTTTTCACAATCTTCATTTTCAACTTTCGGAGAAGCTTTGATAGCAATCAAATAGAGTAAACAAAGTGCAATGCAATGCGATTTTTTGGCATATCCAGCTGGCTTTTCAGTATTTTTTGAGATAATTTTTCCAAAAGTCTTCACTTTTGCGAAGTCCCAAAATACAAAAACGCCCCGAACACTGGCAAATCTACGGATTTTAAAGCTTTCAAAAGTCAGTTACGATTATCCACAATTTTTACAAAGCAACTGAGCGTTTACCGCTTGGAAATATAAGGTTTGGCATTTTACCTGTACAGGCTGGGGCGGGTTCAAAATTAAGAATTATTGAAATTTTATCGCCAAAGATCCCACAATTTGGAAAGAAAATATATTCATTAGAAAGAAAAGGAAAATCTGCATCGAATGACACCTTAGTTGTGCGCCGTCTTATGTTCTATGGCTCTTGGCATCCCCAAAAGTGGAATTTGATAGCATCGAAAAATAATTCTAAAAATTTTTTAAGGCTAGCTATACATGCTGAAAAATTGCGTTAAATTACACTTTGTTTACTCTATGTTACTGTTATCAAAGCTTTCCCAAAAGCGAAAAAAGAAGATTGTGAGAAATTGCCAAAATTGGACATGGTAAAAACCATGGGTTCGAAATTTCGGCCATTATCTCAGTAATCACAAGAACAAGCGACATGCGAGTATGATTGCTAGAAAGAGCAAGAAAAGCTGCGTCGGATAGTGCCTAAAGCTTTCCCTATCTTTAACGTGTTTTTATGATACAATACCGCTCACAGAATGTGCAAAATATCCGTGAATGTCGCAGAATTCCGGGAATTCCGCGAAGGTTCGCAAAATTCCGGGAATTTCGCGACATTCCCGGAATTTCGCGAAATTCATGTAAATCACGCAAATTACGCAGGGCCATAACTTCTTTCCGAATGAGAATATTCAAAATCCGAAAACAGCATTGTATTCAGCTCGTCAAGGCGAATCTTTTGCTATACAGGGTGTCTCCAATATCCTGTTTTCAATAATCTTGCATTTGCATGCGGACGCCTCTTCGCATGGGTGTAACGCAACGAGCATCACACATAGGAGACTGCAGTGGGCACCCTTCGATAGTACTCTTCCAGTAGATTATTCTGCGCTAAACAGCAGCCGAAGACTCTCTTTTAAAAGAGATAGAAGACCTGATCAACTCTGGAAAAACTAAGCTGTTCCAAGTTCTACCAGCCGTAACTTCCTTCAAAATGAACATTTTCGAAATCCGAAAGCAGCATTGTGTTCAGCTCGTCAAGGCGAATCTTTCGATATACAGCACGTCCTTGAAATTCTGTGTCCAATTTTTTCAAAATTTTCTGCGCGCGTATATTCGCAAGGTCGCAACGCAGCGCACATCAAACATAAAAGACTCCAATAAGCACTGTCGGATTGTGCTGCTCCCGGAGATTACCGCGCGCTAAAAACGAACCTTGGAATCGTTTTCAGAAAAGATAGAAGAGCTGGTGAATTCTAAAATCGTGGTGTCTCAAATTTTGCCCACTGTAACCCTAAAATGGGAAGCTCTCCTGCTAAGCAAATGTGATTTTCGTAATCAGCAGGTCAGATAACCTCTTTGGGCGGAGTTTCCTTATAATCCAAGATCATCGACATTTTGACCAAAACCCATCGGCGAGCTTTAGGGCGTAGAACGAGAAAAAATCAAATCACCCGAATTTCTTTGAAAACTTGCTCATAGAGGTTATCTGACCTGCTGATTACGAAAATCACATCTGCTTAGCAGGAGAGCTTCCCATTTTAGAGTTACAGTGGGCAAAATTTGAGACAACACGATTTTTCCAGAATTCACCAGCTCTTCTATCTTTTCTGAAAAAGATTCCAAGGTTCTTTTTTAGCGCTCGGTAATCTGCGGAAGCAGCACAATCCAACAGTGCTTATTGGAGTCTTTTATGTTTGATGTGCGCTTCGTTGCGACCTTGTGAATATACGAGCGCAGAAAATTTTGAAAAAATTGGAAACGGAATTTCAAGGACAAGCTGTATACCGAAAGATTCGCCTTGAAGAGCTGAATACAATGCTGCTTTCGGATTTCGAAGATGTTCATTCTGACGGAATTTACGGCTAGTAGAACTTGGAACAGCTTGATTTTTCCAGAATTTATCAGCTCTTCTATCTCTTTCGAAAAAGAGTCTTCGGCTGCTGTTTAGCGCACGATAATCTAGTGAAAGAGTACTATCGAACGGTGCCCATGGCAGTCTCCTATGTGTGATGCTTGTTGCGTACACCCATGCGAAGAGGCGTCGGCATGCAAATTCAAGATTATTGAAATCAAGATACTGGAGACAACCTGTATATGAAAAGATTCGCCTTGACGAGCTGAATACAATGTTGCTTTCGGATTTCGAAGATGTTCATTCTGACGGAATTTACGGCTAGTAGAACTTGGAACAGCTTGATTTTTCCAGAATTTATCAGCTCTTCTATCTCTTTCGAAAAAGAATAATCTAGTTAAAGAGTACTATCGAACGGTGCCCATGGCAGTCTCCTATGTGTGATGCTTGTTGCGTTACACCCATGCGAAGAGGCGTCGGCATGCAAATTCAAGATTATTGAAATCAAGATACTGGAGACAACCTGTATATCAAAAGATTCGCCTTGACGAGCTGAATACAATGCTGTTTTCGGATTTCGAATATACTCGCTCGGAAAGAAGTTATGGCCCTGCGTAATTTGCGTGATTCACACGAATTTCGCGAAATTTCCGGAATTTCGCGGAATTCCTGGAATTCTGCGACATTCACGGAAATTTTGCACATTCTGTGAGCGGTATTGTAGGTTGGAAAAACGGAAAGAACTTTCGGAACGACCTAATATTTTGAGGCCTATCGTCTTCTTCTGTATAGAATTTCTTCACTCACAAAAATGTGAAAAATAAGATGATGATATTTGTAGGAAGAACCAAAAAAAATGGATTTATCTGCGCCCTACTTCATTTGTGAAAACTGCCATACGTGATAAGATTACTGTTTACGTCGTTCAAAACATAGCTTCTCCACAGTTTCAACTTTCAGTAGAAACTCTTACATAAGTACTTCAAGAAAATTCTGATTTTCTGCAACTCTTTGGGACCCCTACAGAAGAATTGATGGTATTGACAAGGTAAGGATCAAGGCCCGGCACAGGTGGCTTACAAGCAAGCTGGATATCGTTTTTGGGACGAAAAGCAAGAGGGGTTTCGTTTTTGTGGCCGAAAATGTACAAAATTTGCGACGTTTTTTTTTGAACGACGTTTCGTTTGGAGGATTTTTAGGGATTTTGGTCTGGGGTCAAAGGAGACTTCGTAAAAATCAGCAAATTTCAAGGGGGACTTCGTTTTTTGCATTTTCAACTAGCTACCTCGTGTCGAGCCCTGGTAAGGATACTTGGTCAAAGCAGCTTTCCATATGAGATGTACAAGATCGTGTAGAGTATGGGACGCTGATTCCAAATCTGCTTTCGCTGTTTACATGGCGCATCTGGGAGAGTAGTCACACGGTTTTTTTTGAAGCAAAAATTTGAACGCGCGGCTACCATAAAATTATTCAGAACTGAATGTGAGGTTGAATAGGGCCATTACTGCAAGAGTGCTTTATGCAATTAATACCTTCAGTATAATAAACTCATGCTAGTCATTATCCTTTCAAGTTTAAAAAGATCTCAACACCTGGTTTTACCTCAGCCAAACTTTAGAATTTTTACCTGAAAAAAATTCCCATAACTCCGCTCCTAAAAGCGCTTTGCATATATCGACAGCAGATTTGGAATCAGCGTTCCCTGCTCTGCAAGATAGTGTACATTTCGTAAAGAGACACCACTTCGACCAAGTATCCTTCCCTTGTGAGACCAGTAGTTTATTTCACAGCTTTCAATTGTTCAAAAAAGAATTTAGGCATATAGTTATGATTGCTATGCGCAGAAGCACAAGACTTTGCAATACGCTAATAAGAAAACGAAGGTTTGATCTATAGGATTACATCGAACGAAATATAGAAAGAGAAAGAGTGATTGCAGGAGAAAGTTGCACAGAATCAAGATACGGCTGAGCAATTATGAGTTCACAAAAATGCCACAATCGCACGAAAAGTAGTTTTTATTCTTGAAATCATATTTAAATCACTCTCATAAATACAGCTTATTGAGACAAAAAATAATCGAACGGTTCAAGGCAGGAAGACGATGTTTCTCTATGGTACTTACTCTCACTGTGCAGTCTTCAATCACGTCATCCTACTACATTCTCCGAGCAAGCTATTCCAGTGATTGCTTGTCCACCTTGCAGCATCCACATATTCATTCCATTACACACGACATAAGCGTCTGGCACTGAACAATAGAGATTTCGATAAGTTGAGAAACTGGTTGATATCAGAGCTGTTACATCGTGCTTGTTGGAACGGTCCAGTGTAGTAGTACGCAAATGTGCCAGCACGACAGTTCACTGATGCCCTGGTGAGATATTATACATTAAGAGACTTGTCATATTTCACCCAAAAAGGCTCAAAGGCGCTGCAAAGCGCCCAAAAGCACCAGAGCGCCCCTTTTTAGACGCACTCTCCAAAACACAACTCAACACTCGAAATAATTGTTAACAGCGGAATAGAACTCGCTGTCTTTTGAAAATGTAGATTAAGAATCGTAATGAGCCAGAGTTCAATCAATTTGAAAGTTATCTAGCAAACCCCCACAATGGTCGGTCGCCTCATCGTGGCGTGGGGGTGACACTGGGTGTCGAACTGCGATGCACAGCCGAGTGTATACTCTGGTAGGGCCTCCCAAGCTGTGAAGGAGTTCGACGTTTCCGGTTTCGGCCGGATGCCTAGCTAACAAGGGAATGGTCAGAAATCGAAGTGACCAATCCATACAAGCTGCATACTATTAGATGCAGCATAAAACGCTGAGTCTAAATCTGTCTTCCTTATCTGCAGAGCGCTTTTGTGGACGAAATTATAAGCCGTCGAAAGCCATTATTTTGCCAAGAAATTGTGTGTGTAAAGGGCAAACTCGGCCGTACAAAGCCATACTTGGCTTAGTGCTAGGCCAAAACATGCAGCTAGGTCACTCCATATGGCCAGTACCTAAAAGTGAGCGAAAAGTGCAATAATGTGCCTAATCTCGCAATTTTTGTGTGCGATTTTTTCGCACTAAAGCTGGTCATAACTTTGCTTACAAAGGCGCTCTGCAGATATGGAGGACAGATTTGAAATCAGCATTTTATGCTGCATCGAATGGTATGCAGCTTGAATGGATTGGTCACTTCGACTTCTGACCATTCCCTTGTAAGAACTGGCCACGCCAGATCCTCCGCCGTCTGGCTTCTTCTGGTCGCTAGGCGGTTCCTCCCCGCTCCAAGCCCGGGGTCAGCGATCGCCCCGTGGAAGTCAAGAGTAGGCCTAGTAAGCCACCTCTTGTAGGGGAAAATTCATCTTACTCCTCCAGTTAGAAGATTAGAAAGAAACCCTGCACATCATATCCCGCCTACGGCGCCGGGTGGTAGCAAGAACGATGTCAGGGTACTCAGGGCGCCTTTCGGATTGGACAAAAACGACACGTCTGCCCGGACGACACGCCATGGAGACTGCCTCATGCTCTGCACCTACAACGCCAGGACAGTCTCCACAAACGCCGACCTCCACGCTCTTCTCGACGCTGCAGAGCATATCAACTACCACATCATCGCTCTGCAGGAAACGAAGTCCAGGAAGACGGACGTGCGACAGATGAGTGATGGGACCCTCATCATTCGTGGTGAAAAGATTCCATCACGAAACGTGGGAGGCGTCGGCTTTGTCGTCCATCCATCTATCGTCCATCTTGTCGATTCGCACGAGATCCTATCACCTCGACTAGGCATCCTACGACTACGCCCTCCACGTCAGAAGACCATCAGCATCATCAACTGCTACTCGCCAACATCAGCAGCTGACGACTCAGAACTAGATGCTTTCTACGAAGACGTGGAGGAGGTCGTCCGCAACGAAAAGTCCTTCTACAAGTATGTTGTGGGCGACTTCAATGCGAAAATCGGGATGCCACTAGAAAAGGAATATAGGATCGGGAAGTTTGGATATGGGCTCCGAAACGAAAACGGCAACCGTCTCGTTGGGCTCCTCTCCGCCGCACGACTCTTCCATGGAAACTCCATCTTCATGAAGAAAGAATATCGCCGGTGGACTTGGGAATCGCCCAACGGAACGACTCATGCTGAGATCGACCACATTCTCACCAACCGAAGGTGGAGCTTACTCGATGTCTCTGTAGTTCCATCCTTTTGTAGTGGCTCCGATCACCGCCTCCTTCGAGAGAAGATACGACTCAGCCGAAGGCTGGAAAAGAAAGTCTGTCATAGTGCCGCGAGAAGGAAGGAAGTCGTTTATGACGGCAACAGGCTGGAAGAGCTCATATCAAGTTGTGACTGGCCCATCGAGGAGGACCCAACGTACGACTACGACCGGCTTCTGAAAGGATTGCGAGCCTGCGGAGAATGCGCCTCAGTGACTTCTGAGAAGAACTTGGACCGCATCTCGAAGACCACCAAGGAATTGCTCGAAAGAAGAAGATCATTGAGGCAGGACCCGAATGCAACTCATCTCGAGCGACTGATAGCCAACGCCAGTTGCAGAACAGCTTTGCAAGAGGATCTCAGGAAGTACAGGCAAGCCAAGATACTGGAAGCAGCCAAAAGAAGACCAAGTCTCAAGAAGTGCCGAAGGGACCTCTGCGAATATCCCGTACCGCTGGCTGCACTACTGAACGAAGACGGGACTCCGACTTTTCCCGATACAAGATGGAATCTATCGCGAAGAACTTCTACACCAACCTCTTCCGCTCATCAACACCCGTGCAGATGCCCGTTGTTCCCACTGGAGAAGTACCACCACGATTTCTACCTGCTGAAGTGCGTATCACGATACAGACCATGAAGACGTCCACGGCTCCAGGACCAGATCATCTTTCCATCGAACTTCTGCGAGCCGGAGGACACCGTCTACACGAGATTCTAGCGTCGCATTTGACATCTTGCCTTCAGAAGGAGAAGATTCCCGACCAGTGGAGAACGTCAAGAACCGTCCCTCTCTTCAAGAAGGGTGAACGGGAGGATCTTCGGAACTACCGTCTAATATGCTTGCTGAGTGTGCTGTACAAGCTTTTCACGAAGATTATCCTCGCTCGCATATCAAGGACACTGGATGACCAACCCCAAGAACAAGCTGGATTTCGCAAAGGATTCAGCTGCATGGACCACATCCAGACCGTTTCGAGGGTCATAGAAGTCTGCCGGGAGTACCGACTGCCTCTCGTCCTAACCTTTGTCGACTACGAGAAAGCCTTTGACAGCGTCGAAACCAACGCCATCCTGTCTGCGCTAGTCGATCAAGGAGTGGACCCAGCTTACGTGAGGACGTTAGCCGACTGCTACAAGGACTGTACAACGACGATGCAGCTATTTCATCGCCCCCTGACCATACCAATCGGGAAGGAGGTCCGACAAGGCGACACAATCTCGCCGAAGCTGTTCACCGCGGCCTTGGAGTGGGTCATGAAGTCACTGGACTGGGACGAGAGAGGCATACGAGTTGATGGGAGATTCCTGTCCAACCTTCGTTTTGCGGACGACATCGTTCTCTTCTCGAGCAGTATCACTGAAGCAGAGACGATGCTGAAGGAACTAAACGAAGTAGGGAAGAAGATCGGACTGCGAATAAACCGGAAGAAGACTCAATTCATGAAGAACGCCCTTTGCGAAGATGCAGAAATGGAATTGGAAGGCACCCCGATTATGGAGACGTCTTCCTACGTGTATCTCGGACGTTCGATGAACATGGAGAACGACTTGAGGGAAGAACTTAACAGGAGAAGAAGAGCAGCCTGGGCCGCCTTCGGGCCTCTGAAGGAAGCCACCGACCAACTGACGGACCCGGAGCTTCGTGCCCACCTGTTCGACTCAACCGTTCTCCCGGCGCTCTGTTACGCAGCTGAGACTTGGGCCGACACTGTAGCCACGTCGAAAGCTTTACGGACCACCCACGCGCTCGAGCGCAGTCTTCTGAAGATGACCCGACGCAAGCAACATCTAGTCGGACTTCGCAGCACGGAGATGAGAAGAATGTCCCGTCTTCGTGACCCAGCGGAATACGTCGCGAAAGCCAAACACCGATGGGTCGGTCACATAATGAGAAGAATAGACGACAGATGAACACTAAGAACATCGGAGTGGATTCCTCGCGAAGCCAAACGTCCTCGAGGAAGACCACCGACGAGATGGGCAGACGTGTTTGTGGAACGGATGGACCAGCTGAGAAATCAGCTGGATACGACTTTCGCCTCTGGAACTCGTGGACGCAGCCACCGACGACGGCCAAGAAGATCGTGGATGTCTGAAGCGAGGGACAGGGAAAACTGGCGACTTCTGTACTGGGGCAAGTCACGTGAGGACGGGCCATCTAAGTATCTAAGTAAGTATCTAGCAAAATGTTTGGCACACGGTTTTTGAGTGCGAGCAACGATTATGAACGATGCGACGCATCGAAGTCCTCTATTTTCAGAACTAAACTCGACCAGCCTGAACGAGAAAATTCCAAACCAGAGACCCTCTAACGTGCTGTTCCTTGCCTAAGAGAACTGTGTGGGAAAGCGATCATTTCGCAAAGCACAATGGTGAAGCCGAGCTGCTTGTTTGAAAAAAAGAAAAAGATGCGTCTTGTACTCGAAAAATTGAGGTCATTTGTTCAGGTAGCTATCCTCTTAGTGGTAGAACTATTGAGGTGTAAATTGAAAATGAAATTCTGCATGCAAATAGCGTTAAATTGCGTCTACAAAGCAAGAACAATTTTATGGAGAGGCTCAGACGACACTGAGTGCGATCGGAACATGTGTCATGAAAATTGTGAACGTATCATTTGTGCCGATTCGGGAACTCTCTCACCTCCTCTAGTAAAATGCCGTAAACGTACTGCATAAGCATGACCGCTGTGATGTGAGTAATATTACTGCCCACATTTGTTCACTCGCCACGCCTACATACCAACATTCTACCAACTAACACATCGTGCACATCGTCTAACTCAGTAAAGCACAAATACTTCTGTGTTCTATGAAACACACCGCAAGAGGCGCTATTTCGTTTTAGGCTATTATAAAGCCTACACCACCGACAAAGCAGGTGCAAGGGTCAATGCGAAAGCCGACACAGCGCTTCGCTTCAACAGCAGTACAAAGGAATTCAACGCATAATGGCGTTGTTTTACAGTCTTCTACACACAAGATGGGCGGCACATCCAGGAACTAACGGAACTACTGCAAGAGTACGCATACAGCGGTGAGAAAACCATACTTACAGATAACGACGAGTTGCGACGAAGAATATGGATCTGCGCCAATATGCGTGAATCAAAGAATTCTAGACTGGCGCATGGTTACTATAAATGAGGATTGGGAGAAACTCCACCAAAGCGAAGAGTCTGTCGTCGTGAGGATGGTGATGGCAATGGAAGTAGGGATTCGATAAAGGTAGAAGGTTTTGTCGATACTTTTACATATGCCGTTTTTTGTGATCTACGTCACCGCATGATAGAATGCAAAGTAGATTTGTAGGACATAGAAAACAGGAAGAATTTTGTCGCAATAAGGTGCAAAAATGGCGAGCAATCAGCGCTCGGATATCAGCAGCCGGACAACAAAAATTTCACACAACTAGGCGGTTTATCTCAATCAATACACAAATAAACGTGGAGATATTTGGAAAAGAACAGACCAATGTTGAATCCAGGAATAATTTCAGCGCTGAAAGGAACATACCATGTGCTCAGGGCAAATCACAGAAAAAAACCGTGCAACCAGCCATCTCAATCTTCGATGAAGACAGCTTTGGCTACGCGACAAAAACAGAAGCGGAAAATTTATCGCAGATAGCGTCAGAAACGATGAAACAACGCAACTTCAAATAGCACCGATGATCAGTTTGGCGACAAGACCTGCTCTGCTCATAACGAGGTGCCTTTGCAGGTCACGACGCTTCCAGTAAAAGTTACAGCCGTCTCCACTGATGAGCACCTTCCAGCTCCGAAACAAGATAATCATGCATACCAAAAATATCTCTGAGCTCACGTTTTTATTAAGCTGCCGCATTGAATACTAATCACAACAATTTCATCGCCTGCTTATTCCAACCATTTGCTTTCCGTCATCGCGACGCGGCCCATACTTCGCGGATTCAACATGGTCAAAGCGATACGTGCCGCTCACCAACGCCCACTGCTCTATCCAGACAAAGAAAATACGAGATGGAGTATCTAGATTATTTGATGAGTTTCTATCACGCCTTGCACTCTCTGCTTCACATTTGGCTGGCACCAGTAGATAGATTCGGCACCTCTTTCACCTCCTCTAGTGAAGTGCCGTAAAGGTCATGCATGAGCATGACCCGCTTACTGCTCAGATATGTTAATTCAGTTCGCCACGCCTGTAAATACCAGCATTCTACCACTGCACTAACACGTGCACATCATCTGACTCAATAAAGTATAAATGTTCTGTATAACACACTAAAGGCGCTATTTCGTCTTAGGTGTCCGACAAGACAACTGCTGCGATTCCATTGCATGCCGGCCACTTCCATGGCGATTGGATAGTTTTCTGACACAATCACTCGTGACTGACTCTCACGACCGAAATGCAAGTTGAAGGCATGCAATGGACTCGTAATAGTTGCCTTATGGGGGATTGCGAGGCGATAGAATTGCGTGAACTCTGCACGAGGCCTTAGTGGCAGTGTTCGGGAAGAAACCCGTTTTTGAGATTTTCTGCTTAACATGGCCTATTCGCTATGCTAAATCCACACTAGAAAGCGCGAAAACAGCAAAAAGGGGCTCTAAGGGGGTGGACGGGGTCTTCCCCACTGTGAATTTACGCTCTCAGCTTCTGGAACGATCTTCTCGATTCCGCTAGCCGCCCTGACATCGCCACCGGCCAAGTACGAACGACTGAATTGAAACCGGAACAGAAGAGATCGCTCCGGAAGCCGGGAACGTGAATTTGCAGTGAGGAGGACCCCGCCCACCTGCTGTTCTCTTGTGTTGGAGCCAGGGTCAAGCGTGCTGATGCGATCCGGGACCCTCATTTACGACCCCCCCCCCCCTAAAGGTACTCATCCGTACGATCCCCGGCACCCCCCCCCCCCCCCACCTACCCCACCTCCTCCACTTCCTTTTGCGGTAACCTGCATAAACGAATGTCAATCTCAAAGGATGCCTGCCAATGGTTGTCAATCAGAATTATAGGTGAGAGAAAGACAACTACTTACAAATTGGGAGATAATGCAAGTAATACTTCACCACTTAAAAAACAAATAATTCTACGTAGATTGGGTAGTAAAATTTTACAAATTGCTATGCTTATTGTGTTTGAGAAAATGTGAATGGAAAGGACATCATCTGACAAAGCAGAACATCGAAATTGATTTGGATAGTATTCAAGCTGTACTCTACCTATAAAAAATGAGATAGAATAACAGCCAAGAAAAATTCAGCATTACGGAACGGTTCACTTTAGTCATCATAATTGACTATTTATAATAGTAACTCCTTTTCTAGTAAAGTTTGATAAACTTTTCTAGCGTTTATGAATGTTCGGCATAATTCTTTCATGGTTTATTGATAGGGAAGATATAGACTACGGTTCTGAAAATTAGAACCTTTTATTTAACGACAGTCCCGTGTTCTATCCCCGTACGCAACAATATTTTTTTGCAGGGAGAAAAAACGATATTTTTGAAACCTAAAAACTGTTTTCGAATCAGCTCATCTCCTCCATTTTGCACATATTTTCCTACGAAAAAAAACCGTTTTAGCGCCATCCAGAACGATGTTAAAAACGTGCATGAGCACGGTATGAAAGTAATAAAGTTAGGAAAAAACTAAGAGGCCCCAGTGAACAGGTTTTGTAGTATAGTGCCCAAACAGTTGAAGGTAAAAATTGCAGCCACACAGGAGCAGTAAGATCGAAAAAAATTTAGATGCGCTCCTAGAAGTTAAAAACTGGGATTTTTGAGCTCAAAATTCCTTAACTCACTGGAGACGCGACGAGAAAGCCCGACATTTAGGAAAGAAAGTAGGAGGATAGCATCGTAATACAGCAAAATTGCAACGAGCAGGCCTTCATAGCGGCGAAAAAATTTGGATGCGACCCGGATACGACCCCCCTTTTTTCATTTTTTGTTGCCATATATAAAATCCAAAAAAAAATCCAAAGCTTATGAAATACAACCAGATTTTGCACAGCTGTAGCAGAGCATCTTCAAAGTACAGGTAAATGTATGGGCCCTTGAAAGACATAACAAAAAAGTTTTAAAAATTATAGATTGTCATAGCTGGTAGAGATGAGCGCTTTTTCGAGAATGTGAGACTTCAGTAATGTTCCGGAAGCAGGATTTTTAGGCCAATTGGCATATTTAACATTTTTGTCGCATATACATGCTTAGTGTTTGAGCTTCTGAAAGTGTCTTTGGAATCTTCGATCATACTTGTGGCCAGCAAGTTCGATCCCCGTTTGCGACACCTTTTTGCGGAGAAAAATGCTGTTTTTTGAGGAGTAGTGAATTTTTGCAACTGAGAAGCTTCATTCCTACACTCCACTTTTTTTTGATTCGGACTACCCTCTCTTACGACCCCCCCCCCCCACCCCACCGCCGGCACCCCCTTTACGACCTCCCGTTGCGACAGTCGCATCACACGTTTAACCCTGGTTAGAGCCCTTTTTCGCCGTTTTCGCGCTCTCCACTGTGGATTTTGATTACGCACAGCGAATAGGCCCGGGTAAGCACAAAATCTCAAAATCGAGTTCTTGCCCGAAAACTGCCCCTAACGACGCGGACTCCCGCCATGCCAATTATGGCCCGATTGGGATTGCGGTAGACTGTACCAAGTCATTGCCTTTCAAAAGGGAGAAAAATCAACAAACCGGCATTGCATTCCCTCTGCGCTTACCATATACATTGCTTCTTGAGCAGTCAAACAGTCAATTACGAGGCCGTTACAGTTGTCGTCATAGATGTTACCACACTCCACAGCACAATCTAGAAGAGTTATCATATCAGGAGGAAGAGCGAACATTTTGAATGAGACCAATTCCATATGAGCGATTAACATATGTAAAGAATCAACACGATTTTCCTAGTGGGCACAGTGTCACTGTGTTTGTGAAAGGCGAATACAAGTAGAAGATTTGGAACTAAAATACTCCTGACTCTTGATATGAAAGCGCAGGCAAGAAGATAGGAAGTCTTCTTTGTAAAAAACAGTTCTGTTTTGGTCTCGTCATTTGTGACTTTCGAAGTAATTTCAAAACAAGAAATCGATATTTGCTGAGTGATTGAAAGCTGCTCGCTGCTGCTGGCTGCTCTTCATGTGATGTTCAGAACAGTGAGCATTATTTGGTTGCATCTAAAGTCGACTGCACGAAATCGCGCGTATCGCTGTAGGCTGAGAGTCCGCGAGCGTGGTGCGCGCGGTCGCTGACTGCCTGAGTCATGAAGCGCCAATGCCAGATGCAGCTTGTAGGCCACAAATTTGACCGCGCGCCAAATACGCTCGCGGGCCTTCAGCCCAAAGCGGTATGGGCGATTTCGTGCAGTCGAACACACCTCGAATGCATTGCTCGCTAGATCAAATCAACAAACTGGAAAAGTCACCGATTGCTGGAGCCGTAGTTGTCGTTGTCGTCGCCGATGTCATCGGTGGAGCTCTTGTAGTAACCGGCGGTGCAGCTCTTGTTGTAGTGACCGGCGCTAAACCTTTCCAAAGATAAAGGCTTTTGTAATAGATTTATGAAACGAGTGAACGCTCAAGAATCTATACGCATATCCCTACAGTTTCATTTGCACTCAAAGCGTAGAAAAGTATTTTAAGCGGATATCCTATACAGTCGAGTAGATTTAGCGGTAAATATAGTGTGCTTGCACAGAAGGTGAAATGCGGTAAAATTGGCGCGTGAAGAAATAGTTTCGACTGTGACGCCGGCCAATTGCGCGCGCACGATACCCGCGCTACTGACGTGGCTACTTGTTCACGCGCAAATTTCACCGCATTTCACCTTCTGTGCAAGCACACTATACTTACCGCTAAATCTACTCGACTGTACGATTCAATGCCTTCCTGCTCTTATGCGGTGAAACTCGCCCATTCTTAGCAGTATGAGGAGAGCGAATATCTATCAACTTTAGAAGTTCTTGTACTCCCTGACCGAGTGATTGGACATAGGAACAAATGTGAAGCACGGCAAAGGTTTTAAATTAGCCTATTTTGACTATGCTGATATGAGAAAGAAGACGACAAGAACCAAATTTCGATTTCGCACACTCAAAATATGAATTACGATTAGTGACAAATAGGGAAGTGTGCACCATATTCTTTGTCAACTTTATATGAAGCAAATATCAGGAAAACAAACCCAGACTTTCCGGTGAATGGGTTCGAATGCATGAATAAACGCAGTGCCCATTACACTTGAGTAGAACGATGAAAGCGAGTTTATAAAACAAGGTAGACATTGCGATGAGGTGTCATGCAAATACGAGATGAAGGCTGCTTGTGTTATATAGCAACGATATAAACAGGTTTGGAAAATCATAGTGATTCAGAGTAAGTAGTACCGTGTTTATCTGTATAAAATCAGAAGAAACAAGGAATATGGAGCATGCGATCCCATAAAAGAGTCATAAAGAGCCTTGCTGAAATCTTCCATACATCATCTAGATCATTTCTTAGTTTGCTGATTTTGTATACGAATCAGAAACATCCGCTGCTCAGCAACTTCAAAGCTGTGTTCCCTTTCTTCCAAGAGTACAGTATAATTACAGACGGTGAACATTTGTACCAGGTGTCTGAATGGGGTGAGCTTATCGGCGACATATAAGTCCCCTACCTCTACCCGCTTGAAGTGTCATGCAAATACGAGATGAAGACTGCTTGTGTTATATAGCAGCGATATAAACAGGTTTGGAAAATTATGGTGATCCCAAGTAAGTAGTATCATGTATTGTTTTATAGGGGGTTGTCAAAGGTAGCGTCTGAGCAATCTTCTTCGCTTACCTGGGCTAATTTTTCCCGCTATTTCGGAAAACGCCGCTTGGAGAGCATAAAAATGTCAAAGAGGTTTTCCATAGTCCTTGATTTTGAATCATGACCAGGGTCAAACGTGGGGAGCGGCACGCCACACCTGGGGGGTCGTAATGAGGAGTCAAAAGGGGAAGGGGTCGTAGTTGGGTAATCTGATAATAGTGGTAACATGATATTTGTATCGTATCCATAATTAGCATGTCAATTAATTCCTGTAGACAAAGTGTGAGCGAATTCTGAAGGTTCAAGATACTAGGCTACCTAAATGAAATGGTCAAATTCCAATATGGTTAACTTTGTTTCAAAGGTGAAGTAGTTATCCGTTTTTGCACTCAAGACAAAGCACTACTCCTTCTTTGTCCACCTCAGGAATCCCGCTTCAGAAGACTTGCAAACTGTGGAATTAGAAGCCAACCAAAATCTCGTTTTTCCCATTTTCCGCTTTTGATCGCTGTGCTTTCACCAAATATTACTCAGAGCTAAGAAGACGAATCAGGCTCCAAACAGGCCTATGGAATCTACAAGGTTTAGGCTATCGACTCATATAAATACTGTCCGCTAAAAATGTTTTTTTGATATAGTTAATGGGGTGTGCCGCACCCCCTTAACTTGACTTCAAAATCCAGAAAGCGCTCCATTGCTGGTATGAGTATTGAGCACATAGCTTCTTCTTGCTACACTGGAAATTTGGAGCCGAACGCTCCACCCATAAGAAAATTATGGCCCTTTCAATATGCCCATTCAGATCAAAATCAGCGGTCAAATTACGTGTGATTGTAAAGTGAGTCACAGAAAATCGGACGTACAGCTTTCAAAAATCTGAAAACTCTCTAGAAAAAGCTGGTGTCCTCCAGAGTGTCACACTTTGAGGTACAGAGGTTAAGAGGAGGAAGAAGGGGTCGTTTGAGGGCTTTCATGGGAGTGGGGGGGGGTTGTCTTCGAAAGACTTGTGCCTGACCTCTTTCTCAACTCTGGTAATGCTATCTTAGGTATATAGTTCAGGGGGGGGGGTCTTATTAAGACAGCAATCAGGGAGGGGGGGGGTCGTAAACAGCGATCGTGTGCCACACCCCTTGCTTGACCCTGATTATGACGCGTGCCGCCAAGGTTTAGTCGCAGATTCGTCGTGGGACTCTGCGTCTTGATTGTGTGTGATATGCGCACTGTGGCTTACTGACTTTAGCATTCCAACCACCAAGGCGTTCCGGTCGCCACTTCCGAAGCGATTTTCTCGTTTCAGAAGCAAAATGGTGCCACCTGGGCGCGAGACTTATCGTGGCGGGCGACATTGTACTCTAAGTTCTCAAAGGTGGTCCTCTAAGCATGCTGATTTCTTGCACGCAAGCCCTCAGTCTACTTGAGTTAAGATCCGCGAGTTCCTGGAAGAAACATAGGCGCTATTCTACATTAATTGATTGACCCAAAAAATCAGAAATTACTAAAGGCGCGCTCTAATTCGCATCGTGCTTCGGTCTAACGGCGCCGATATTTGCTGTTCAAATCTTCGCAGACCATTTCATGCCCCTGCTTTATGTGTCATGTTAATTACAAGTTTTTTCCCAAGTGCATGTTTATACAGGACTCAGCACATCTAGCACTTCTTTAGTTGTTTATGAGGTCACTTCAGTGACGGTCGTAGAAGGAGTTTATGTGGATCTCCATAAGGAGGAGCGCTTTCTTCTATTACTAGTGGTCCACATGGACTATTGGTTCAAGCTGGGTGATCAGAGAGAGGGCCACTCATTCGTGAATGTTTTTCAAATAGTAGCAATTGAACCATTGGTCGGTGCTGTTCCACGATTTTTGTATATTGGTTGCGAAATTTTTGATAAAACCAAAAAGCTGTGAAGATACTTTGTATCCTTCTAAAGTCGAGTAGATTTTCCGCTCAATATAGTGTCCTCGCACTGCAGGTGAAATGTGGTAAAATTTGCGCGTGAACAATCAGCCACGCCAGGAATGGGCATTTTGCGCGCGCAACTGGGTGGCGTCACAGGGCTAGCTATTTGTACACATGTAGTTTACAGTAGCTACACGTACACATCAAGTTTACTCTCACTTCTTTTCCTGTTTTCATATCGTTCTTCAATTAGGTTTCTCGCATTTGGCATTATAATTTTTCACTTCCATCGCTCGTACTTGTTATCTTCTAGCAGTTTTGCAATGTTTTTTTCAGTTCTCATATGGAAGGCGACCATCCATCTCCATGACCACGAAAGGTGCTTGGCGTTTTGCACAGTATACCTCGACCTAAAGGTATGTCAGGTTAAAGGCTGGCCTTGCCTTTACCTGATGTGTAGCGGTGAGCACATAAGCTTATTTACTAATATTTATTATTCAGGATAAATATAGGGAAAGTGGGGAAAAGGGGAAGAGGCCGCAGGGGCAACCTGCTGGTCGCGGTCGTCGGGGGTCACTGTCCTCCAGCGAGCTTTACAACCCGCTCCAAAAGGAGGGACAGCTGATGTGGACCCGACAGGTATATAGCAGAAGAATTTGGGGTGTATGTCAAGAGGCGCGATTTTTATTGCCAGCTGGACATCAAATAGCACATAATAAGTGTCTTAAAACTTTCTAAAAGCATATGAAATCTAAAAAAAAGATATGTTTAGTTGCATGGTTATTCAATTTTAAGGCTTTGGAAAAATTTCAAAACAGCAGTTTTGAAGGTCAAAAACGCGTGAAAATGCATTTCAGAACGATTTCGTAAATATCTGAGTTCGTTTTACAGCAAAACCCATGAAACTCAGCCAGTGGTAACATCAAACAGATTGTAAGCTTATGCACTTTATTTGGTACTTTTTGAAACTCGCATAGCACTGAACTGGAGTTTTGAATTGGTGACAGCCGGAGAAATCGCGCCTCTTGACTGTCTCCCAAGATGCAACTACTTCCGACTATTCAGGTCCTTTATTCTTGTTGAGACTATCAGAGCAATAAACGTTTGGAATATTGCAGTGACCGCTCCTCTCCCGGATCCTATGAGAACGGGCAGAGCCACAAGTGCTGTGTCGTTGACAGCAGCAAGAACTCAGGATGCGCGTCCACCCAGTAGCACAGGTGAGATCATTGATAATCCCGAAGCTGGCTGAGAACTTCTGGATCGCTATCTCAGCACGTCGGTCTACATCAGTTACTCGCGAGGATGCACGTACAGCAGAATTGCGAACGAAATTGCTGACCATGGAAGCCGAAGTCAATAAGCTGACTGCCGAAAACGATCTCATGAAGGTACTCGTTTAAAAAACCTTATACATTTTTTGTTTCATTGTTCCATCCTCCGAAGTAGTGCATGGTGTAATCACCGCGACAGTGGAGTAGCGATCAAAACAACTTACGAGGGAGGATGAGAACTATACGGCATACAACCGATCTCCGCAAAGTGCATGCCATCAGTGAGAGCTTGATACGCTGCTCCCAAATCTGCTTCCCCTATATGCAGTGTTTTTTTGGAAAAGAAGTTATGAGAATTTTTTAATGCGAGCAATTCAATGACTGGGATGAAATCAACTATTACATTCGTCTTATTTAGGGTCTAGAAAGGCTGTAACAAAGGATTTTGTACCGCCCATTCATTTTAGTCCAAAAGAAACATTTGTAGCTTCTTTTCCAATAGCGTTCTGCAGAACTGGAAAGTATACTTGGAGTCGCGCTCTCAGCTCTCAACGTACATACAGACATACAGGCATACAGGCATACAAACAGACATTCAGCTTTATATATAAGATTGCAGAGCCAGATTACACTGAAGGACCAAAGCATAACTACTCTACAGATAATTTAGAAGCTCGTCTTTATTTCTATCGACGACAAGAAATCGTTTTAGAGCTCCATAGGATGCATTCGCGAAAAACTTGCGTTTGAGAGACTCCACTAGACGCGGAGAAATCGAAGTCCTCACAAGGGAATGGTCAGAAGTCGAAGTGGCCAACCCATACAAGCTGCATACCGTTAGATGCAGCATGAAACGCTTACTCTAAATCTGTCTTCTTTATCTGCAGAGCGCTTTTGTGGACGAAATTATAAGCTGTTGAAGGCCATTATTTTGCTAAGAAATTGTGCGTTTAAAAAGCAAACTTGGCCGTACAAAGCCATTCTCGGCTCAGTTTTGTACCAAAACCAGCAACTAAGTCACTTCATATGGCTCATACCTAGAGGTGAGCTGAAAGCGCAATAATGTGCCTAAATTTGCAATTTTTGTATGCGATTTTTTCGCAGTAAAGCTGCTCATAACTTCGCCTACAAAGGCGCTCTGCAGATATGGAAGACAGATTTGAATTCAGCATTCTATGCTGCATCGAATGGTATGCAGATTGTATGGATTGGCCACTTCGATTTCTGACCATTTCCTTGTCAGTTGTGCAGATGAAGAATGAGCAGCTTGAAAATGAGCTTACAAGGAAACGATACTTGGTGTCCGTGGGCTTTTGAGATGAGATGCATACCATTACACTCATCTTGGAGCGCTGATTCCGAATCTGACTTCCTTTTCTGCTAATCGTTTCTCTAAAAGAAGTTATGAACGATTTTTGCGCCAAAGAAAACGTGGTCGCAATGCCAAAACCGCCGCTGAGATGTCATGTAATGGGTAGTGAGATAGCCTCGCAAGTCAATGTAGGCTTAGGTTCGAATTCTTTCGTGTTTTTCAGTTTTGCATTGCCTTAATCAAGCTTCTTTCCGAAAGTTAGGCATCCTTGGTCGCATTTCTCTTAGGCGACCATTGACGCGAAAATCCTTCATAACTTCTTTCAGAGAAACGATTAGCAGAAAAGGAAGACAGATTCGGAATCAGCGTTCCAAAACGAGTGTGACGGTATACGTTTCATCTCAAAAGGCCACGGACACCAAGTATCGTTCCCTTGTTAGAGAGTCGAAATTGGAGACTGAGCAACTGAAGACAGAGCTATCTAAGAAAAGGACTGAACTCCTCGAGAAGGATGAGACAAATAGAATTTTAAACAATTATGTGGTCGATTTAAAAGTGAGTTGCTTTTGCTTGAAAACTTAGTAATAATGGCGATGTTCAGGGACAGATTCGAGTTGTAGTACGCGTCAGACCTCCACTTGGAAAAGAAAGGGATGCTCCTATCACCCATATAAGCTACCCCTGCCCCTTCTCAATCAAGCTGGATCAGGTATTTCCATGTAACACTGACTGGTCTGGAATCGTATATATTTTAGGGGAACTTATCGCAAACCTACAACTTCCAAAGGGTTTTTGGTCCAAACGTGACTCAGGCAAGATTGTTCGCCTACGTGGAGGAGTTGATTTTGGTACATATGCTACATTATTGGCTTTTGTTGTTAATTACAATCTTCAGTCTTGTTTACACGGATACAACGTTTCAATAATTGCTTATGGGCAAACAGGAAGTGGGAAGACTTTCACTATGAGAGGAGGTATGGTTTGAGATGCTGTAGTCAGTTGCGACACCTGCTTGCTCGTTTCTAATCGTTCTTTTCTGTCTTGAACATAAGGAATTTCGAAAAACATAATTCGAACAACACTTAGATGCCTAAGAAGGCCTATGTCTTTTTTCTACGCTGGATTTCTTTTGCAGGTGATGATGATTCTGCCGGAGTAATTCCTCGCGCGGTCCGGTTCCTTTTTCGCTCAAGAGACAAGCTTTCAGATTTATATTGGGATGTGAGTTTTTCATTGCTTTGATTCTATCTATAGGGCTTATTAAGTGCAGTATCGGGGTGACCAGCATCTGCTCCCGCGCAGTCGCCTTACCTGGACTCTGCACCTCTTTCGCGAACATGCTGTCTCACTTTCCCATGCGAGCATGGGAAAGACGGAGTCTCAATCGATTGGACATGATTAGATAGCATATTCGCGGAAGGGATGCAGAGTCTCCTGCGGGGTGGTGTTGCTGAGGCACCCGACACTACAATTGATAGGCTTTGTAAATGTACTGTTGACATATCGCTTATTGTTTCAGTTTGACTTCGAAGCTTCATTCCTGGAAGTGTACAACGAAGAAGTCTACGATTTGCTCGCGAACAGAAACAAACTAGAGGTGAAGATTGGGTCTGGAGTTACGGTTATCACCGGTCTGAAGCAGCGCAGAATTGTGAATGAGGAGGATGTAAGCGAATAGCAGCCTAAATCAGTCCAAAAGGCTTATCTTTCAGATTGAAACTATACTTGCCGTGGCGGATCGCACAAGGTTTACTGCTTCTACAAAGTGCAACGAGCAATCCATCAGAAGTCATGCCGTTTTTGCTCTCGCCATTCACGGGACTAATAGAACGACAGGTACACCTCATAATGCAAAGTAGGTTGCATACTATGCAATAATTGCAGGAGTATGCCGCAGCGCCACCCTACATCTCGTTGATCTTGCCGGATCGGAGCGCGTGAAAGAGTCTGGGGCTGAAAGCGACCGCTTTAAGGAAACGACATATATCAATTCCGCCTTGTCGAATCTTCAAAACTGTATTCGTAGTCAGCTGAATAAGGTGTGCCATTTTCTTTCCATGGAAAATTTACCCGGCTGTGATCATGTTCGTCTTCTACTCTCTTGTCTTGTCATCCACTTTGAATTTTTAGAGCACCCACATCCCCTATCGGAATGCTAAACTTACAATGTTATTATGGGACTCGCTTGGAGCAGGCAATTCCAAAACGTTAGTCATTGTAACTTTGAATCCAGCCATAACACAGGCTGAGGAAACCAAACGTAGCTTGGACTTTGCTCAGCAGGTAAGAGTTTAGTTTTTTGCCAGTGTAATTGATTTTTGATTTGCATATCTATTTAGATGAGCTTCACAAAGATTGGATGCGCCAGGAAGCAAGAACAGTGATCTTCATTCTTTTTCTCTTTCTCAACTTGATGTAACAAATTTTTTCTGGTTTGTATGCTCGATCGCTAGGTAGACATAATACTCTCATTCATCTCAATTTTTGATTTCTTAACAAAATTAACGATCTCTCAAAAACGATCAAACTTGTGAATACTCTGTGATATCTTATTATTGGCTAAATACTTAATCTATTGAGAATTGGTGCTTAAGTGCTCTTTGTACCATACGTTTATTATAAAAGGTTTTATTTGTTTGCTGTGTAGCATTCATCCACAGGGAGCAGCATCGGATAAGCATTCCGAGGTTTTTTCGGTCATATGGAGCATTGATTATGTCATAGGGTGGAGAGCAGATAGCAACGACTCTAATATTGGAATGGTTCCAATATACCCTATTTTCAGGTGTATAAGCCGCACTTTTTCAAATTTTCGATCGGGCTGCTCAGCCGCTTCATTGTGTTTAGAGAAGCGATCCTTATGCCGTACGACTCTTTCAGGCAATACACAGCATGGCGTAGGATCCTTTGGTTGCGGAGTCCTTTGATGTATTCGGGCTGGTCGGTTTAAGCTAGGACCACCCCGCGGCTTATACACCTGAAAATAGGGTAGTAACTTAGCTCATCTTCGTGTGGATAGTAGATACAGTCTAGGAGGTAAGACTAGATCTAAGCGTTCTCTCTCAGAAATCTTTTACCTCAGATAGATGCATTATGCTGCGTATTGATCTAAAGATCGTGATTATTTTCGTTGCAGCCTTGCCACTGTTCATTATCATAACACTTGCTTCAAAGTCTTGCGGGTAACGGTGGCCGAAGTGTTATTGAAAAAGGGGAATTTTCTAGAAATCTCTGTCAATTTCTTTCACATTAGCTACTTGGTCCATTTTTCCTCGGGAATTATGCCTATGTGCCTATCATTTTCTGGATAAGGATCGACATGTCAGCTGCGGACTCGTACTAGGTAAATTTATCAGACTAGAACCATGCATTTTCACTTTTTTAATCATAATTTTACAGGTGACTATCCCGAGAAGAGCTGCACACCCAACCCTCATCATACGCATGTTAGCCCTGAGGTGACAGTCAGGCATGAGAGTGTGCAGGGTGTGACAACTGCCAAACAGCAGGTACTATTCCAGTATACCGACCCCAAAAATTAAAAATCTCGGATTTCACTCAAACTCGGTATAGGGGGGTTATTCGATCCGCTGATGCCGAATATCATATCGATTCCGTGCGATAGCGCCATTTTCCGGGGTTTACGGTGGGTATACGGTAGGAGGTCAAAATCACAAAATTGTCTGAAATTTGGTGCAGGGGGGTTATTTGACATGCTGAACACGAATATGGTCATTCGTTACGGTAGCACCTCATTCCGGGGTTACGGTGGGTATACTTTAGGAGGGTCTAATACTGCTTTCCACACTAACCGCCGCGGATACACCCTGCGGCGGCTTTTGCCTAAGCAAAGCAGGGGAGGAAATTTCCAACGTGTGACTGAGATTTCAAGCCCTGAATCTCGATCTAGCGGTGGTATTGGTAATGTATACCCAACGTAACGTCGGAATGAGGCACTATCGTAACTAATAAACATCATAAGTGATCAGCATGTCAAATAACCCCCCTACACAAAGTTTCAGCGGATATCGTGATTTTGAACCCTTACCGTATACCCACCATAACCCCGGAATGAGGAGCTACCGTAACGAATGAATATCGTATTCGTGTTCAGCATGTCGGATAACCCCCTCTTACCGAGTTTCAGAGAATTTTGTGATTTTGACCCCCTACCGTATACCCACCGTAACCCCCGGAGAATGGCGCTATCGCACGGAATCGATATGACATTTGGCATCAGCGGATCGAATCACCCCCCTATACCGAGTTTGAGCGAAATCCGAGATTTTTAATTTTTGGGGTCGGTATACTGGAATAGCGCCCACTTTTTTAATCATAATTTTACAGGTGACTATCCCGAGAAGAGCTGCACAGCCAACCCTCATCATACGCATGTTAGCCCTGAGGTGACAGTCAGGCATGAGAGTGTGCAGGGTGTGACAACTGCCAAACAGCAGGCTGCTCACGTGTCTCTTGGCGACAAGTAAGTTAGTGATTAGTGCCAGATAGATCTCTCATTTACACTTTGAGGTTGGATTGCAATGGGAAGAAAAATGGGTTCTATTCACGCGACTGCGTTAAGACCTATGTTTACTGCGAGAATGGTTCGGCGATTACTATGGTGACTCCCTATATGAAGTGAAAGAAAGTCGTGAACAAACTCAGGAATTCTTCAGAATTGCCCTCACGATTTGGTATTTAACGAGAGGAAGGTCCAATGCGACTATTTGGAAACTTGGCAGACAGATTTTGAAACATCTTTGGCGACACCAACTATTACCTTCATCAATCCTGCGCCAACCGTGCAAGTACTAATACCCGTTGCTCAAAAGTTCGTTTTTTTTTCGTTCATAGTGTTTGAAACACTACTGGAAGTGTAGTAATGGTAATCAATACCACTGATAATGCAGAGAAATCACAGGTCTTTCGATTGCAAGGAAAAATCCAATGGATACTATTCCCTTAGGTGCACGCCTGACTACGTTGCATGCGTCGAAGGAGTAGCAACTGCAATGGTAAATTTCATCTGATTACAGCTATAAACTCCTAAGACCATTTTTATTGTTTTCAGTGTTCAGCGAAAAAAAAGTAGCCTGCGATTATTCGGAAAATTGCTTAAAAGCGCCAGTAGCACTATCTTCGCCAGTTACCTCCACGGATTCGGTGCAAAGCGTCGTCCAACGTACAGCATCGCAATTGACATTGTGAGTGGAGAACTTTCCAACATCTTTGTTGAAATTACGCTTTGTTTGTGATACTTTGGAGAAATTGATTGCATTGGAAAGAAGGACGGCTACTAATCCAAAGGTTGCTCCTCCACCTTCGTACTGTGCAATGAGGGAGTGACGGTAACGATGGTAGTCCATTACTGAATATTACTAGTAGTTTTTTCAAACCTTGATCACCACAGAAATGTCCTCCGACACTTGTCTTCGACGAGAGAAAAGGACATTGCGACTACTTGGAAAACTGTTCGAAGAATCTAGTGGGCCATTCGGAATCGGTACTCCCTACTGAAAGTGGGGCTAGTAAGATACCCGTGCAACCTGCAGCTGTGCCTACTCCGACGTCAGAATCCGTGGAATCCAAGAGCGTTCTTGCCCATACGAAGACGCATATAATGTAGGTTGTATGCTTTGATCAGCCAGCTTATTTATATTTCAGAGATGTTGACTGCTCCGGAAAAAAGGACGGATACTATTCCAGTGTTTGCAAACTTAATTTTGTCTTATGTTCTGGAGGCTTGGGAACCTCAATGGTAAAATAGGGGGGGGGGGAGCTTCTTAAATTTTTCCGACTCGTTTTTGTTTTTCAGTCTTGTCCACCTTCATTTGTGTACAACCCACAAAAGGGAAGATGTGATTATAAGAAGAGCTGTTCTGTAAAAGTGGAAGCACAACCATCACCAGTAGCCATCTCTCCTACTGTGGCGAAGCCGTTGCTGACAGCACCAGTTCCTGATGCATCTCCTGCCGTGTCTCAGCAAAAGTATGCTAATATCTACTTTGATCTCCGTAATTTACTTCATTTGGAATATACCATTGGGTTCACGGATGTTTCCTCTCGCTGAGACTGTATATGCTTTAAGCGAAAGTTTTCATTGCTCTTACTTGCTGTCATGAAGCGTTTTCGAATGGTTTGATCAAGCGTACCTATTGTTTTATTCAATTTCCAAAAAACTTGTTTGTAGAATGTTCGACTGCAAAGGAAAGATGGATGGCTTCTATTCGAATGGACGTTTTCCCTCATTCTTTTTCTGTAATGAAGGAAAAGCGACGCCCATGGTGAATCTAGAGATCGAAGCGATAAAAAGTTCTAAAAAAAGACTTACAGAAATGTCCATCCTCCCTGGTATTCAATGCAAGGAAGGGGCATTGCGATTACGTAGAGAACTGCAACACGGGGTCGAGTCCATTGCCGCTAACAAGTACAGTACAAGTCTCAAGCTCCACTCGTGCCGGAGGTTGTCGACTGCATAGGAAAACCTAACGGATACCATCAGTGGAGGCTCCAGCAGCGCCAGCTAATGATGCTTTAACATCTTTCTCACCTCCTCCGGCTCCTTCTCCGATTGCACCGTCTGGCTCTCCGTATGCTGTCTTCTACAACTGCAGTATGTATTGTATGTTTATGTTGCTTCAGGCAGGTGAGCTGCGCAGGGAAGAATGACGGTTACTACTCAAACGGTTGCACTTCGGAATTTGTGCTATGCAGCCAAGGGACAGCAACAATTATGGTGAGTTTAGTAAATACGCTTCCGAATTGTAGGACGCAAAGGTTTTTTTACAGAAGTGCCCAGCTGCCCTAGTGTTTGACGAAAAGAAGGGTCACTGTGACTACTTAGAAAACTGCGCAGATAAGGTGCCGCCAACGTTAGCACCAGCCCCTGTGCGGCGCCATCTATTCCTACCGGGCTGGCTGCGCGAGCGGTTTGCGTGCGGTAGCCGTGATTGGCGTAAGAGCGCGCATTCCCTCTTGAACTTGGTCTTCATGGCATCAAACTGTCACTGAGGACTTTAGTTTTCATGGCGTCAAATTGGCACTGAAGACTTTGGCGCTCTTTATTCATTGTAGAGTGAGCAAATGAAATGTTGATGAAGACATTGGTTTCGTTTCATTGATGTACGCTACTTGACTTTATGACGGTGGTATCAGACAACTCCCTGCAAGGTCTGAGTAGCTTATTCCTTTTCTGATGATTGCTTTTTTATGTAAATAGAGACTAAAGAAGGTTTTGAATGTCTTTTCTGTACCGACCACGATCTCTTGAAGTTTAAGCTAACTTTCCCTAACGCTGTGTAACTTCAACGATTTGAGGATGTTCAAAATCATATTCGATCTTATCATGGTGGTTGAAGGAGATGAAGAAGTGCCTGCCTACACATCCGATCGTAAAGCATTCTTGATTCATTCGCAATATGCATGCTATATTTGGACTTAGCGACGTGGACTTGGCGTTCCCCTCCTGTTGAATTCTCGTTATCGTAAATGGTTTTGACTTATGAGCGGGTTAAGATCTCCATGCGCTGTCTAATGTAGATATCTAAACAAGTATATTATAAAAGTAATTTAGGTGTATTGGCATTGCTACAAAACCTACCAGCATCAAACAACCAGTCATCTAATGGTTCTTCGCATAAGCTCCTTCACTCCGAAGATATCACGTTCTTGCCCAGAACTTTACAATCCATTCACTTAGTGAAGTGTTTGCACACATCGCATTATAACTCAAGTAGTTAATATCTGATGAACTTCCCATCTTTAAGGATCTCAACTATTCTCCTTTTGTTATCAGAAAAGCGGCCAGTAGTAACAAAGTTCTGGATCTATTGCAACTGACGGAAACCGTCAATTTCAAGTATTTCTCACGCAGTTTGAGCTTTGAATATCAGCGACAGAGATTAGAAAAAGTCATTGCATAACATTTGCAACGAGTTGTACATATATATGTATCTAAGTCAAGAGACCAATGAGATCAGGCCTAGCTTTGTGATGGGAGAACATCGAGAATGCGAGTTCTTCATTAAAAGGGAATGACCGAGTTGTACTAGACTTGACAAGCTCTGGGAGAAAGGAGTTTCCACAACAGTAACCGTAAAGAAAGAAAATAAAAACGATATACTTTGCTAACATAGAACTTCTGCGAACAGTTAGTCATAGCACCCCACGGCAAATAGATAGTTTACATGTTTACTTACAGGCGCACTGCACTCCGTAGTGAGTTCTCAACTTTTACTTACTTTCCAGTAACTTTTTATCCGCACGCGCCGATCAACAGCACTCGAAGATGCTGTGACGCACATGCAACAGTGCGCGCCCCTGCGCCAATCACGGCTGCCGCACGCGAACCGCTCGCGCAGCCAGCCCGGTAGGAATAGATGGCGCCAGTTCCCGTACGTTATATTGTCTAGCTCTCGTGATAATGGCTCAAAAATTGAGTTTTTCCTCTTAGTGTAAATTGTGCTGGCAAGAAAGACGGGTACTATGGCTGCTCGGTAGAGTTCGTGTTTTGCAGCGAAGGAATGGCGACTGTTATGGTAATATTGTACTTCGAATGGCAGGCAATGCATGCATCAAAATTTCTGCAGAAATGTCCAGACACACTTGTCTTCAATGAACGAAAAGGTTTCTGTGATTATGTGGAAAACTGTGGAAAAGAAGAACGCAAACAACCGTCAATGACCACCGCTTTACCTACGGTCCAGCAACAAAGCTTGAAGGCGAGAAGTGAGTATCCCAGCTGCGATCTGTGCTAGTAACGATTACGAGGATTTGTGCGCGAAAATTTGATTTTTTTCGACTTGGTTATCCTCGGTTAGTACAAATATTATACATCTTATAATAGTCGTAATTTAATCTGGGACCCCTTTCCACTTTTTTTCGCATCAGTGTTATACAATATGCGGCATCAATGTGCTTCCTGATTGTATTCATTGCTGACATTAGTTGTCCAAGTTAGTGCATTCATATGCAAATGTGTAAACATGTATGAGATGAATTCGCAAAACTAATCCACTAGCTTGGAGTATCAGGTTCTTTTTCGGGTCTCGTTATCAGGCTTACAAGGGCGTCATAAAGAGCTTTGCTGAAATCCTTCATACATCATCTACTAGATCATTTCTTAGGCTGCTGACTTTGTATCAGAATCAGAAATATCCATTGCTCGGCAACTCCAAAGCTGTGTTCCCTTTCTTCCAAGAGTACGGTGAAAATCTGCATCAGTTGTCCAGATGGGGTAGAGCCTATCGGCGATATAAACTCCCCTACCCGCTTGAAACTTTGTTTTTAGGGGATTGTCAAAGGCAGTGTCCGGGCAGAATTCCAAATGAAATTTTTTTCGCTTACCTGGGCTAATTTTTTCAGAGCATAGAAATGTCGAAGCCGCCAAGGTCTAGAAGCAGAGTCGTCGTGGGACACTTACGTTTTAGTCGTGTGTGATATGCGCACTCTGGCTTATCGTTAGCGTTCCAGCCGCCAAAGCGTTCCGATCGTCACTTCAGAAGCAAAATAGGGCAATGTCACTTGGGCGCGAGACTTATGCGGGCGCCATTGTACTTTAAGTTTTCAGACCTGACCCTCTGGGCATGCTGATTGCTTGCACATAAGCCTTCAATCCACATGACTTCAGATCCGCGCGTTTCTGGATGAAATAAAAGAAATAAAGAAATTAAAAAATAAATAAAAAAAATAAAAAATAAAGAAATTCTTTGTGTTGATATCCTTGCTTATGTCTCAGTGCCAGAGGTGCGGTAGGTGGAGCCGGGCCCCCCAAAAGTGAAGGTGGTTCCAGCTACCACTGGCCGGCCAAAAGTGAAGGTGGTAGTGCCGGACACTCACCTCCCAAAAACGTCGACCGGGGGGGGGGGGGAGGGGAGAAGGGGGGGACTTCGGATAATTGAAGAACTCTGACCCAACGGTCTCCTTGAGGGCCAACAAGTGTGACCTAACGGCCCTCTTTAGGGCCACAAATACGATGAGTATAGCGGCATAAAAATAAAATAAAAAGAAATAAATATGATATTCAAATGGTCTATTTGTAAGTAAATCCCAGTTAGACTTTACATATTTCATTAAGTAGATTTTGTTATAACGTACTGCGAATAAAGTAGGTCGATCCAGGCAGTAACCACCGAGAACCAGAATTTCAAATAATAAAATAGAAAAATCATGCGAAATTTCCACTGTTATAAATCTGATGGTTGAAGATGTCAGCAACTGCGACTTCATAGGTTTTGAAGGGCTAGTGTTGTTCTACCAGTCAGTGAAAGAATTAGATCGATCTGAGCAGTACTCGCCGAGAGCGAGAATTTTAAAAAATTAAGCGATTCTAGGTTGCTTAGTGACAGCTGACCTTTAAACTCCTATAAATCTGGAATGTGAAAATATGCAATGTTGCGACTTCATAGGTTTTGTGGAGTAAGGATTGCTCTACCGGAGTATGCCTTAGCCGTACCGATCCATTGAAATAGCGCCGAGATCCAGGGTCTTGAAAAAGCAGGTAAAAAACCGCTTTTTGAACTTCAACAGCTCATAACTTCTTCAGAATTGCATGAATCATGTTGCGACTTCATAGGTTTGATTCTTCTCATCAAGAGCTTCCAGATGATATATAATATGTGGGGAATTCGCGCCTTTCACGGCATATGCCCGGGGGTGGAGACTTTTCACCCCAAAGTCTCCACTGGCGGTCTCCTGCCAATACATTAACATGGGCGAGGTGGAGACTTTGGGGTGAAAAGTCTCCACCCTGGGTTAGAGCCGCAAAAATCATTGAACCCCCCACATACTATATATCATCTGAAAGCTCTTGATGAGAAGAATCAAACCTATGAAGTCGCAACATGATTCATGCAATTCTGAAGAAGTTATGAGCTGTTGAAGTTCAAAAAGCGGTTTTTTACCTGCTTTTTCAAGACCCTGGATCTCGGCGCTATTTCAATGGATCGGTACGGCTAAAGCATACTCCGGTAGAGCAATCCTTACTCCACAAAACCTATGAAGTCGCAACATTGCATATTTTCACATTCCAGATTTATAGGAATTTAAACGTCAGCTGTCATTAAGCAACCTAAAATCGCTTAATTTTTTAAAATTCTCGTTCTCGGCGGCCACTGCTCAAATCGACTCGATTCTTCCACTTGCTGAAAGAGCACCATTTACTCTTTAAAACCTATGAAGTCGCAATTGCTGACATCTTCGACCACCAGATTTATAACAGTGGAAATTTCGCATGATTTTTCGCTACTTTGTCACTCGAAATACTGGTTCTCTGCGGTTACTGCCTAGATTGACCTACTACATGGATATATGCTCTCAATACTTTCTTTTTCGTTTCTTTTGCTCATTTTCCTTCTTTTAATCTTCAGCAAAAAATTTTTTTCAAACCCAAAAGTGAAGGTGGTCACCCGGTACCAGCTCAAAAGTGAAGGTAGGCGGAGACTCGGCTCCAACTATCGCACCTCTGCTCAGTGCGTATCATTATAGTGTACAGAGCCCCCTCCTGCAGTGTAAACAAAACTGAACAAATGATAAAAGCCATCACAGATCTTTTGGGTTGCAGTAAAGCTTTGGTCCTTATGGGTGACTTTAACTTTCCCGGTATTGATTGGGCAGCCCAACCCGCAGCCAAGGGTGGCACAGCTTCAAGAAATTTCTTGAACATGTGTCAGTTATACGGATTATCACAGAAAGTACATTCCCATACATTGGGACAGAATCTCCTGGACCTAGTTTTAACAAATGATGAAGACTTGATCAAAAGGGTTCGAGTTGAGGCACCGTTGGGGTCAAGTGATCATGCAACAGTTAGGTTCTTACTCAAACACTACGCTGGTCGCACGGAGCATATTATACGTAGAGGCTATAAACATGCAGACTGGGACAATTTGATTAAATACTTAGCTGATATAGATTGGTATGGATCTTTTAACTCAGCTAATAACATTAACGATATGTATGAATTATTTTTATTCATTCTGCACCATGCCATTGATAGATACGTTCCCATGGTTTCAGTTCCACCAAAAACCATTTACCTTCCCAGCTATCTTCGTAAATTATATGAGAGAAGAGAGCATGCATGGAATAGAGTAGTGCATGGTGGGAGTAATGAGAATTGGAGCGAGTATATCAGAATGAACACTATTTTTACCAAAAGGCTTAGGAAATACAACGCTTCTGTTGAAAGGAAAATAGTCCAGTCGCGGAAGAAGGCCCATTCTTTCATATTGATCAGTTCTAGACTTAAACAAAAGAGTAAGATTGGAGTAATTGTAGATGAGAATGGGACTATTATATCTGATGATTTTGACAAAGCAGAACATTTTGCTGTTGTTTTCGAAACCAATTTCCAAGAAAGTGCCTCCATGAACATCAGTTCACATTCTCCGTGTTTTCCTGTAATGGAGGAAGAACCTGGTTTTTCTACTGATGACATCTATAGGTTGCTGATCTCTTGGCCTCACTCAACTTCGCTCACACCAGACTTGTTACCATTACATTTCATAAAATCAGTAGCACACATTATAGCCGGACCTCTTCAATTTTTGTGCAGCTTGAGTTTTATGAGAGCAGAAGTGCCAGCTAGATGGCACACTTCATATGTTACACCAATACCGAAAAAGAAACCGTATAGTTCTGCAAAAAACTTCCGACCAGTCAGTATTACTTCTATATTTGCTAGGCTTTTTGAGAAGATATCGAAGAAACATATAGTCAAACATTTGAATAAATACAAGATCATCTCACCGTTTCAACATGGATTTCAAAGTGGTAAATCTACCACTACAGCTATGCTTCAATCTCTAAATGATTGGACACAAAATTTTGATAACGGACTTAATACTGACATAATTTATCTCGATTTTACCAAGGCTTTTGATAAAGTACCTCATGTTAAATTATTGCAAAAGTTAAACATGGTCGGTATACATCTTCGCATTATCGCCTGGATCAATGCCTTCCTTGCGGACAGGTCTTTTTCGGTTCGCGTCAATAGTTCATTTTCCAAACCTCGTAAGATGCACAGTGGAGTCCCACAGGGGGGAGTCCTCTCTCCTGTGCTGTTCAACATTTATACGTTTTAGCTACCAACTATTCCACTTAACCTGGGGGTTTCTTGTAGTGCATTCGCAGATGACTTCAAGCTGTATGCTGCTGTAGGGGATGTGTCTGGTTATAATGTGTTGCAAAAAGCCCTCGATCAAGTTTATAACTGGTCAAATGATTGGTCATTGCCCATTTCCAGGGAAAAAACTAAGGTGATCCACGTTGGACCAAGAAACTGCAATCCAAAGTTTAAGTATCTTGTTGGGGACTCTTATCTCCAAGAAGTCAACTCAATAAGGGATCTAGGGTTCATAGTTAAGAGTAACCTCACTTTTGATGAACACTGTAAGATGATAGCAGACAAAGCGACAAGAACGGTCTACAATTTGTTTAGAGCTTTTGAAAATAAAGATGCAGCTGTCTTCCTGCAAGCGTATAAGTCGTTCATAAGACCCATGTTGGAATATGGTACCGTGATTTACAATCCATATTTGTGCAAAACAATAAACTATATCGGGAAAGTTCAGAACAATTTTACTCGTAAACTTTTCATACGCAAAACAGGTTTTCACTACGATCTCATTCCAAACGGTAACATCCGGAATACAAATTTGGGACTCTCCTCACTCGCCTACAGAAGGCGCAAATTTGATCTTGTGATGGCTCATAAGATTGCATATGGTACATGTGGCTTAGAATTCAAAAAGTT